CAAAGTAACCACAAAGTTGCCAGCAACATGTTTGCCTAGTGTATGGAGGCCTTTAGGAAATTTTTAAGTGCTCAAAAACTTAGCCAAAGACCCGGCATTGTACATGTACATTGTTCATGTGTTACGAATAAACTATTCTGATCAAAATTGTGCTTTTTTTGCAAATTTTGAAGTTGCTCAAAAATTTGGCAAAAGACCATGGACTACTAATACAAAAATTAATATCAAGTAGGATTCACCGTACTACTTCATTGAAAAGTAATGGAAACAAGGATAACTGCAATTCCAAACAAAATTAATGACTACCCCCTCGATCAGACTACCCATACTAACAAAAAATCAAAATGAAAATCCTTGTCTTGTTATGCAAATTCTTCTCTACATAGACTAAATTGGACTACTAAGTAAGAAACTACTGATCATTACTATACAGCATTAACAATTAGTAGGGCGAATTTATAAATATTGATAGTGGGTGAAGCCAAGTCTTTGAAAATGGCTGACTCACAGCATAAATTATTGGCCAGACTAATGCTTTACATGCCATACCACTGCCCATGCCACCATTTAATTATTTGTGTTGTTGAAATACTATAACAATAAAAGATTATTACCTGAGACCTGCTCCACTAAAAGTGACTGGACCTTTTAATCATGATTCAAGCAATGAAGCATGCTGCCACGTGGCCTTGCTGTCCCAATCTAAGCCTATACTGCGCGTGCGCACATTCGATATTCCTAAAAAAGGAGGCGGAGTACATTCACATTCTACCACGCCCCTAGGCGTAGCACACTAAAATGGCGACTGGTGACTTTGGCAAGTTTGTCAGCAGAGTGAAACAGAGCGCAATATCTGTAGCAGGAGAGCTCACTCCTGTCTTGAAGGTATGAGAAAATTGTTTCCTCTCAGGCCTTTATTTATGCTTTAGAATTCCAAATTTCGTGAATCTGGAATGATCACTCCTGACGAGGTTAGCTCTTTTTTTGTACATAATTAATCCCTCATCTTAAAATGATATGTGCCATGTATCATTACAATCAACAGTTTGTAAGTATGATTTGTTCTAGTATGCCTTTCACTAGTTTAGTCTTGACTGAGATGTGCCAGCAGGTTTATGCCTCTCTTGAATTTATGCTTCAATGAATGTAATAATGTGTTATGCCAGGAAGGTTATTCTGACAAGTTTTTTTGTGATGGAGCTCTCACATGTAGTCAGGCATATTGGGCGGCAAGAAGGTATACATAATGGATGGAGATATAGAAACAAACTAGGATTTTTAAAGAAGAAATCATATTTGATTATAGAGAGCCCTGCACTCAATGCCTTCGTCATCTCCTACCTCTCTCTAGCCTGGGATATCAACTGTAACGTTTATTCACATTCTCTCTATTCTACCATGCACATTCTTGCTGCCCAATGTGGCTGAAAATTTAGCTTTAATTTATTTCCACCCTCCCATTAATTACTTTTGTGCTAGAGCTGTAACTTCTTAAAATTGATCTATTTTGCCAATTTTCGTGCAGTTTAAAATTACTCATTAAAGCAGCATTTGTCTATCTAATTTTTGTAGTTTGTCGCTGCAGGAGATCAACTGGTATACCACTGTCCTACATGGCAATGGTGAGGATATTATTATAGTCTGATGCATATACAAGTTTGTTTGTAGGGAATCTGGAGAAGCATCACGACGTAAAAGTTACCTACCAAATGGCAAGCAATTTTTAGTGACAAGAAAAGGTAACTAATGCTATAGACCATGCTGTAATTTAGACTATGTGTCTGTATAGTGCCTTGCTACAGAAGATGTCATCAGATGTCTGTTCTTCCTGAGAATGAAAAAGTTATTAAATTGAATCAAGATGATGCTGAAGATGAAGGCTGGGTTGATACGCATCATGGAATAAGTAAGTTCAATTTGAATAGTCACGCCATTCATTACTGGGACCCTAGGCAAAAAATAACATTTTAGTAGAATATTTTCCTTTGTATCAAATGTGTATGACTTACTGTTTGAAGTGATGATTATACTCTTTTTTCAATGTGTTTACAGCTTTAGATCAGACTGGTAATGATGATGCACAGATGATGACATTAACTGATGAGAAACAAAAGGAACCCACACCACAAACAGTAATGAAATAATTTTTTAGGCATAAATATCTTTTTATAAAAAATTAGAAATATTGGCCCTTTGTCATGAGTAGACATGAGGTCAATTATAATTTGTAATTGTAATTACATAATTCTAATTGTAATTTAGCCCTAAGCCTAAACAGTACATGCCGGTATGTGATTGGAATTTTTATCAGAATTGAGTTGTGATGGTGTACTAACAGTTACCTTAAGCCACTTGACATTGCATGATCATATGTGCATGCATTGTACACATGCCCAGTACAGTGCTCAGCTTTATGCCAGCTCATGAGCTGTGCTGTTTAGCTTGCTCAGTCAAACTTTGTACAAAACCCTGATCCGTTGTATGTGGTCAAAAATGGCTAGGAGAGAATATTCCATTTTATGATTTTTATACGTATAAATGTTCTGATGTTTGAGTTGATTATTGGATTTTTATTAATTTGCTCCAAAATCTGGCAAGAAACCCTGTATATTAAATTGGCCAAGCTTTTCCAAAAATATAAACGTGAGAGTTCTTAATTTTTCCTGATACATATACATGTACTGATGTTGTATAGAAAGTTTGAGCAAATTTTTATCAAAATTGGATTTATTATAAATTTTAATTCACCCAAAAATTTTGCCAAAAATGTCAAAGAGAGAATTTTTAATTTTATAATTTTTCCTGATACATATTAGATCTACTAATATTGTATAGAAAGTTTGAGAGGATTCTAATGAAAATTGGATTTTTTAATGAATTTTTGAAGCTCAAAAAATGGCCCCAAGACCCTGTACTTTAGTACGTAGTCTTGGGTCAAATTTTTTCAAAAATGTCTAGAATAGAATTCTCCATTATTATATTTTCTTTCTGATACATGTACATATACATGTTGTTATGTCATATATCTTATTAATTTTTTTTAAATTAAGAAAGTTACATGTACTCCAAAAGCCGTGCAGTGCTTGTAAGCTCATGAAGTGTTGTTTACCTCACTTAAAATGCTTTTTGACAATATGTTATAACTTCTATGATATTTGAAATGTAACCAGTACTTCTACAGTTCAGCAGCATGCAGTCACCAACTCATAAACCAGTAACTTTTCTATTTTTAAAGAGCCGTGTTTGATGTTTCTTTTTCATGCAAAAACATAGTATTTGTAATTGAAATTACTTCAACATGACATACTTGAATTTGTGATTCTAATTGAGCCTATTTTCAAAAGAAGTGTACAGTACATGTAATTGAGATTGTAATTGAGGTTTTGTAATTGGCCTCAAGTCTGGTCATGAGTAGTATAATTAGTGGAAGTGTAGTCATTATGATTAATTACTAAATTGTGCCTGTTGTTGCTTATGGTAGTGAAGTGCATAAACAATGAATTCTGAATTACTTACAGGGTATGCAGTTAATGGGGATCAATAATGACGACAGTGACAGTGATGATGAAATTGTCATGGATATGGATGATTATGAAGATGATGATCCAGTAAGTCAGTGTGAGTCACTGTATTGTGTTTTATTTCTTTATAGGCTGTTGTAGCCGTTAAACCAGTGACAAAGAAACAAGATGAAAGTGTCGTCCTTCAGACCAGAACGTATGATCTAAACATCACTTATGATAATTATTACAGGACTCCTCGTTTGTGGCTTTTTGGTTACGATGAAGTTAGTGTATCAGTTTCAGTGTTGTGATATGCTTTATAAATATTTGTTTAGAATGGTAAACCTCTTACTGAAGATCAGATGTATGAAGATATAAGTCAGGTAATTAAAATTACATTTTGATTAAATAAATATGTAATAATTGCTTAGGATCATCTCAATAAAACTGTTACGATGGAACAGCATCCTCATTTACCACCACCACCAAGAGCTTCGGTACACCCTTGCAGGTAAAATGATAACAAGCATACTATACCATACATGCTATTGTTTGATAAGTAACTTTTAAAATCACAGTTTGTATTATTCATGTTTACACACATGCATATAGACATGCTGAGTTGATGAAGAAGATTATGTCAATGGTTGAAGAAGATGGCCGGGAATTAGAAGTTCATGCGTATCCTATTCAAAATCTTTGTTGTGTGCTACATTTATGTGCATTTGTAATGTCATTCAGTATAAGTTTAAATTCCTTTACCAAGTGCTTGACAGGTATTTATTGGTGTTCTTGAAATTTGTACAAGCAGTAATACCTACTATTGAGTATGATTATACTCACCAGCTATCTCTTACATCTACTTGAAAAGATACCAAACTGATATTTGTTTTTTGCTGTTAGCTGTAGCACTTAAATATTAACAATAAAATTATGTGTTTATACATGAATACATGATTGTAGTATTTTATTAAATAAAGTGTCAATTATTAAGTGAAAGAGAGTCTCTGAAGTTGTTCATATGTCATAAAAAACTGAAAGGTTATTAAGGAATATAACGAAAACATGTAGTTGTGTTTAACTGTGTATGCATAACTTTGATTAATAAAATAAATAAGGCCATCAGCATGTACTGCTAAATAATGGTACCATAAAAATAGCCCAACCTTTGACTATTACTACTAGTACTGGTGGATACAATTATGTTCCAAGGACCAAGCCTGAGATAGGAAGGTGTGAAACCTTTATAGAGTGCCATAAATCCTTCAGTTTTAATTGTCTAAAAACAATCAAAAACCTAAACATATTATCTTTAAAAATGATCAATACCTGTACACAGCAGTCGAATGAGCTTTGATAAAAGTGATGTAATTTAACCTTGCTAGTATTTTGATTCATCATTCTTGATTTGACTACATCAATAGGGTTTGTTGCTATAGCTCCCAATATACCAGCCAAGAAACTGGCAACAAAGTGAGTCATAACATCATTACCCTCAAATCCTACATAAAAGGTTCCATAAATTAAGTTAACACTAGATACCAGACATGTTACCTGATTGAATTAATATTTTCTTAAAGAAATCATATGATGGTAAGAGAACACCAGCAACTACAGCAGCTCTTTGAGAGGTAGGCCCAACTCCCTAAATTATATACCAATTGCTGAGTTGAAATCAAGTGTCTTACACGATATAATCCTTTAACACCTTCACTTTGATATAATTTAATAAATGCTAGAAATACATTTTGCCTCCTCTGGTACTCTATAGAAGTTGCAGCCTGCATTCTTACCTATGAATTAAATTAAAATACCAAACCAAAAAAGCATTACCGTATAGCGGGTATATTTCATCTGGGAAAATGTTCGTTCTAAGCAGGATTAGAAATTTTTGTTCGTTTTATTTTCGTTCTGAGCAGCCATTTTGCACACATGGCATTGAGGAAACGCCCTTTTCGTTTGGAAAATGTTCGTTCCACAAGGAATGAGAACGAAAAGAATGAAATTAAACTCGAACGGAATATACCCGCTATACGGTAATCATTTAATACCAAAAATAATAATTTTCACCTTCAGTACATCAGTAGGATTGGCTATTGCTGCTGCTATAGCACCAGCAGAAATCCCTGATATAATGTTCATGTAAAGCGTCTCAGTACCTGTAGACTATCAAATAAAAAAGAATATTCGCAATTGTCATTACCATTTGCGTATAAAGCTAATCTGGTTTTAAAGTAATGATACAGTCCTATCTTCATAGTGCCGTATGATGCCTGGCGTAGCAGTCCTGCTGGTAACCTACATATATTGATCATGCCTCACTCAATATCATTAACTCATTCACACTATTTCGTACCCATGATATAATGCCCTAAAGCCTTCTTCCCGGAATACCCTGTACAATGCATGGACCATCCCTCTATAACGGATTTCACTACAAGTTGCATCAGAGACTTGCCCTTGAACCTGAAGTCTGGTTTTAGCTGTATCTATAGGGAAAGTCCCTGAAGGGCCCAATAATATATAATGCAAAGGAACAGTGAAGATGTATATACCTATTTCTGCAGTGAGAGATGCCAACCCTCCATTAATGAAAGGCTTTAGTCTCACATCACTAGACACAGACATCGACGACATTGTCTTGTCTATGCTGCCTTGCTTGGAGTGGAGCTACGGAAACCACCTCGCCATTGCACAAGACTGGACACCGCCTTTTAATTATTAACTTTCAAATTTCAATCAAGAATTTCATTATTTTTAATTTTTTATAATAAAACATTGTGTGAGTCTTTTAGGCAATCAGACCCTTGAAGGATACAGCATCTAAGAAAGTAAATATAAAAAGTTACAAAGAGCAATATATACGTACCACTCTGACACGTGCTCCTAAAGCCCGTGCTGGTAGATTCTTCCTAAATTTAGCTCGGACGACACCATTATTACCATGAGACTTCATAACACGACCCCATATCACTCTGTGCTTACTAGGCTTTTTGTCACCTCTTGCTAAAATAAAACAAAAATATATATATAACTAGTTAGTTAATGTAAAGCCAGGCTAACCTTTCCCTCTCTTTTGTACTTTATAAACATATGCAACTCTTTTGCCAAAATAAAACTCGGTTTCCGGTTTGCTCTCCACGCCCTCAATTTTTATTAAAGACTGCTGAGTATGAAGGTTTCTTTTACCACGACGGTATGAAAGAAAAACGCCTTTACAATACAATCTAATGAAGAAAAATAATATAAAATGAAATAAGTAACTATTTATGATTATAAAAATAACAATCCAGGGGTTGAGACCGTTGAGTACACATTATTCAACAGAAATTTGTAGAGTGGATCTTACAAAATTAATACAGCAAAATACGTTCAACCAAATGCTTCCCAATAGCAATTGTGACGATTTTAAAAGTAGTAACCCTAAAATAGACAAGACCCACTTCTATTTTGTACAAATACAAACCACAAAAGGCAAAACTGTCATAAACCCATTAAAGAGAGATCTTCAGGAAATAGGTACCAAAGCACCTAAATTGGTAACTTATGTCACATAAAAATGACGGTGTATACATACTCAAAACATAACATTCATAAAACAATTCACTTTTCACAAAGACAGTAGCCTACTACCACCAAATGACAAATACTTGAAAAGTATTAATCTTAATAACATATTATACTACTACACCCTGCCATATATGTTGATAAAACACATTTAGTTTTAATTCAGCTCAAAATTGACATACAAGTAAATTACTAAACAATAAAAGTGAATTACCTAGTCATTCTTATTTTCTTTAAGTACAAAGCCCAGTGCTGGTAGTTATCCTACATACAAAGGACAGTTAATTAAAGCACAAAAATATAAGCATTTAGCATAAAGCACATCTATGTAATACGATGGAATAAGATTCGAAAACTTACCTACCCTTCTTCCTAGAGATCAACCACGTGGAATCAAAAGGAGAAAAATTCAGGAAATTATTCTAATTAATGCGCGAAAAATGAGGAGTTTCATGACAGTCAGCAAGGTGAATACTTTAACGATCTGTGTCATCTATTAACAATTTTTATAGCATTTCAGAAGAATATTAGATACTTCTTTAAGGAAATGTTATTCAGGAAATTCTGTAAGCTTAAGCAAACTAAGGCAGTGTGAGCAGTGTTAAACTGATTAAGCTGTGCATTTCTCCGTAGGAGCATGCTGAGTTATCAAGAATAAGAAACATTGGTATATCTGCACATATAGACTCTGGTAAGACAACTCTTACGGAAAGAGTGTTGTTTTACACTGGAAGGATTTCAAGTATGCACGAAGTATGTGGTAATTATGCATGATTATGTAATTAATATATAAGTAGATTTGATAGCTTCATCATTAATATAGTCTGCCCTATTGGGGACTAAATTTTGCAAGTAATTATACACACCGTATGTGAGATACTATTTGTAATCTTCCTTGCCCTATCCATATTCTTTAATGAATTTTTTTGGTCAAGGTCAAAAGCAACCTTTGTGGGCAAGCTGCTTTTAGTGCAGTGAAGCATTTTGTCAGGAGACATTCTGGCCTTTTATTGCTACTCAGGCATGCTTTAGATGAAGCCTCTTGTTTGTGTTTCTCAATGGATCTAGTAGCCATCTTGCCATCTAAATTTTGAGTATGGGTGGATACCGTAATTCAATAATTACTTGCACCCAATAGGGTCTATAAGACTGAACATCAGTGCTAGGATGCAAGCAATGCATTATGCTTCCTTACTAAAAAAGCGTCTTGTTATATTTTTGTAATGAATGCATGTACATTTGTGACACCATGTTTAATCAAATTGTAAAATCAGAATGTGATTTGTCTATTCCACTGTCTTGCCTTCTTATTGCTAGGTTAGAGGTAAGGACCAAGTTGGTGCTACTATGGATTTTATGGAACTTGAAAGACAGAGAGGCATTACAATTCAAGTCAGTCATTTACCCCTTTTGAAGGATTATTATTATCATTATCTTTAATCATTATTATTATGCAGTCAGCTGCTACATATGCATCATGGAAGGATAATGTTATTAACATAATTGATACACCAGGACATATTGACTTCACTATAGAGGTTGAGAGATCACTGAGAGTGTTGGATGGAGCAATTTTAGTCCTGTGTGCAGTAAGAGGAGTTCAAGTAAGTATGATGTACATAATTAATCAATGTATGTAATTGTATTTTGTAATGTAAAGTGTACATCATGTATTCTTACAAGTAGTACAACATTTAAGACCAAATTGTTAGCACTGTGTAACAATGACATGATATGTATAGTTAGAATTATTTAATTTACTAGCTAGTCTTTCATAATGAAGATTTTAGTAAGACACAATAGAGGTACTAACAGCATGCTCCATGAGCTGACAAGTACATGTAAGCACGGCACGATACATGGCTTTTGGACCAACTTTAATAGTTTATAAAAATCTAATTTTGATCAGAATCAGTTCAAAATTGGGTTTTCCCAAAATGTGCTAAGCCAAGCATTACATCAAACTTTGGAGACCCTGCAGTGCATGCCTGATGAGGATATTAGTAACATGTACTTTAACCCAAAGTTCAATATGACACTTTTATTCTTGTTCATTAAAAATTTTTATAATTGTCGTTTTTATTTTAGTGGCTTTTGTTAGTCCACTAGCTGTCTCTGACCAAATTGACAATAATTATTGATTTTGCCCGCTTCTTATCCATTAAATGGATATTTTTCCATTGTTTCAATCCTCATTATGCTAGTGTACTGTTATATAGAGTCAAACATTCACTGTCAACAGACAAATGAACAGATACAAGGTCCCTCGGATTGCATTTGTAAATAAATTGGACAGAACTGGAGCAGATCCTGAAAGAGTGCTCTCACAACTGAGGTTAGTGTAACATACAGTATACTAGCATATAGTATTGGTGTATGTGTAGGAGTAAATTACATTACAATGCTGCACTGCTGCACTTACCCATTGGACTAGAGTCTGAGAATAAAGGAATAATTGATATCATTGATAACAAGGCATTATACTTTAAAGGAGATTTTGGGTAGGTACTAGATACTAATACATGTATACTTGTACATATAGCTATGTGTATCCAGTCACTTTTGAGGGACTATTTGTGAGAAAAATGATGGAATTGCATGGGCATGAAAATGTCGCAAAATATACTTTTTGTGACCATAGGAATTCATTTTACACAAGCAAAAGTTATTGTTTTCAAGTGTCCAATTGTCCATGCCATTAACCCGTTAAGGTAGAATATAGTTTAGTAATAATCATTAGATTTCATAACTTGCATTCCTTAATGTAACTCAGCTTAGCAATTAAAATCTTCCCAAACATAATCTGGCGTTACGTTCTGCCCTTTTGCCCACCCACTAATTGGACCCACTATTTAAATCACATGATCTCTTGCATTGTGTATATAGTTAGTGTTGAATTATTATGGCTGCATGTTCCTAATAATTGCACAGAAATTTTTGTGTCTCCTCCTGCATGGGTATTGATATACATGTAACATGAAATCTTAATTATTGTAATGTATAATGTTTAGTGAAGAAGTAATTGAGAGTGACGTACCTTCTGATATGGCGTCTCTTGTTGAAATGAGAAGGGATGAGTTGATAGATGCTGTTGCTAATGTTGATGAGAAATTATGTGACATATATTTATCAGATCAAACCCCATCTCCCCCTGAACTACGAGTAAGAATAAATGTACATGTATTTACAATGTAACTTTTACATGAATTTTACGTGTACATGTAGTCAGCTATTCGTCGTGCTGTCATTTCTCGGACTTTTATTCCAGTACTGATGGGCAGTGCTCTCAAGAATAAAGGGATTCAGCCATTGCTGGATGCTGTAGTACATTATTTGCCAAATCCTTCTGAAGTTGTGAACTATGCCATTGATAGTAGTTCTAGGTATTTTAGTTTTATTGTGTTAGCTTATTTCTATTAATATGATAGTGATGATTCAACTGTTGTCATGAATCCATCTCGAGATAATAAGCTCCCATTTGTTGGATTGGCATTCAAACTAGAGGTTGTCTTTAATTACCGAAAATTTTGATGACTTGTTGTGTAGGCTGGGAAATTTGGCCAGTTAACTTATATACGTGTGTATCAAGGCTTTATTAAGAGAGGTGACTGGATGACTAATACCAGAACAAAGAAAAAAGTGCGGATATCACGTCTTGCAAGAATGCATTCAGATGAAATGGAGGTATAATATTACTTTAAATGTTGTATAATATTTAATTATAATACTGTTACTGATAGGATATAAATGAAGCAATGGCTGGGGATATTTGTGCATTCTTTGGTGTCGAGTGTGCTTCAGGAGATACCTTTACTGCTGTCTCTTCACCACCTTATACAATGGTACTATGAATTTAATTATTATGATATTTTAATTCTTAAAATTGTAGGAATCTATCCATGTCCCTGATCCTGTAATTTCACTTTCTATTAAGCCACAAAATAAGGTTATTCATCTTACTCTAGATTAATTTTTCATATAAATTATCATTTTAGTGGGATTTAGAAAAGTTTAGCAAAGGACTTGCTAGGTTTCAAAAGGAAGATCCGACTTTTAGAATTCACTTTGAAAAGGAAAGCAAAGAGGTCAGTTTCTAGTTTTATTGCTTTGTTTCAATAATATCATTAGACTATCATGTCAGGAATGGGAGAACTTCACTTGGAAATTTATACTGAGGTACTGTCTTGTTTTATGTACAATAATGTTGGAATTGCTGCCTTTTAATATTAATTAATAATAATTATTTTTAAGAGAGAGAGGGGGGAGAAATAGAGAATAAAATGATGTCTTAATCTTTATTTGGATTTTGTAAATTTGCAATTTGTATCATTTAGAAAATATTAGTAATATCACTTCTTTTATTCTGGCTATGTAGAGAATGCGAACTGAATATGATTGTCCCTGTATAACTGGAAAGCCTAAAGTGGCTTTTCGTGAATATATTACTACCCCAGTTAGGTAAGCACATTATGCGTGTATGTCTAGTTGTGATTGATGAGGGAATTTGTATGCCAGCAAGTAGTGCATGTTTATTTCGCTACTTTTACTTTCATATTATGATTCATATATACAGTACATGTAGTTTCACCTATTGAAACTTCTTAAAAACAGGACAGAAAAAGTATAAGTGTTAAAGCAATCATTTGTGGGCACACATTTGTAATAGTGGTTTTAAACCCCAAGCTTTCTAGCTAGTGAAATGAATAAATACTAGCTGGTAGCCTGGCACTACTACTAGGCATTGTAGTGTAAACATTATTTTAGTATCATTTTCAGTAACACCGTTTTATTCTTTAATGTTGTAGTTTTGATTATCAGCACAAGAAGCAGACCGGAGGAGCTGGACAGTATGGTCGTATTATTGGACAGTTAATTCCTCTAACTGGTGACGAATTGACTGATCTTCAGTTTGAAGATGTTACAATTGGAATGAATATACCCAAGCATTTTGTCCCAGCAATTGAGAAAGGATTTTTAGAAATTTGTGATGAAGGTTAGTGTTCTAAAAACAATCAATTACTTGATCTATACTTAGTGCTACCAAAAGTGGATAATTGTCCACTCTTGGTACTACTATAAATTGATTTAGGAATACTGTACGGTTGGTAATATTTGAGGGTCCAAAATTTCGTGTTTTCTCCAAAATGTCCTTATAGAAGCTAATATTCGTGGGTACAAATATTCGTGGATGGCAGTTAGCAAACTTCTTTTCACTTGGATCTACTGGACTAGCTTCCAACACATGGCTTATAGTGGAATATGGAGTAATAGACAAAGACTTTGGCTCCTCCACTGGCTTGGAAATGGTAGTTAGAGCTCTGCATGGCCCGTTAATTACTTTTTATGTGTGGGTGGGTAGGGGTTAAAATTTCATGGATAAAAATGAACCACGGAATTAACGAAAATTAATACCCCACAAAATTTACCAACCGTATGGTAGTAAAGGTGTGCATTTCATGTATACAAAATTTGCATTTTCCACAGGATTTTGGCATAGTGCTGTCCCAATCAGTTTTAAGAATTATACATTACCTGTTATATATTGTTAGGGTTTATAACTGGTCATAAAGCTGTTGGTATGCTGATGAGATTAGAGGATGGTGCCTCTCATTCTGTTGATTCAAGTGAGCTAGCCTTCAGACTGGCAGCAAGAGGAGCAGTCAGAACAGCCTTTCTTCAAGTAAAATTTTAAAGCTGTCATGTACTTAAGCCAAAAAAATTGTTGATTTTATTAGTGAAATTTATAGCAGTTATTTAGTGTTTTTATAAAGCATGGGTCATTAGTGAATTTTGCTTATGTCATCTACTCTTTTTGTTGCATAGTAATATTTGTCATATTTGTTATACTTCTTAGGGTAATCCAGTTATTCTAGAGCCCATAATGACAGTTGAAGTGGTAGCACCACAAGAGTATGAGGTAATTAATGTACTTTGCTTAATTGCTTATAGTAATTTGGATTATAATGTAACCGTAAACTGCAATCATTATATCATATACCGGTTTATTTTAAAAGTAAAATATTTTTGTGAATTTTGATATTTTTTTTCCGTCACAAGAAAAATATTTTAAATTATGAATTTTCTCTGTAAAGTATTTATTTTTAATAATTTTGTAAAATTTGTCCAAAATATTGATAAATCAGGTGACACATTTACATGTAAGTTGTCATTATCTCTATCAAAAAGATCTACAGCTATCAAAAAGATCCACTAGTGATAGTTTAAAGACAGGCCTACAAAGTTATCATAGTGACTTTCTATAACTATTGTTTCTTGCTGTTTAGAAATATGTGTAACTGTACAAACATTGATGGATTTTGATGAATTTGTCTGAATATTCGTATTTTCGGGCACCATGCTTTGAGAGCTGTTAACTTTTGTTGCACTCTTGCTAGAGCTACAATTATTTTTACGCAAATAAAGCACAACTATTACTATAATATTCTGCAGTTTCATGAGATGGAAAAGTATAGTTTTCCTAAAACGAGTATCCAAAAATGGGTGGTGCCCAATTATTGATTATAAAATTTACCGATAACAGAAATACTCTCCTAGCCATTTTTGATGGAAATATCTGTCCATCTCATGTGCTGGCAAGAGCCCAAATACTATACATAAATTTTAGTGAACAGTGTACCAATTTTGCATTTTTCCTAACTCTTAAAGCTGCCGGTACATGTTTCTAGTTTTACTTTTGTCCCATACTGTACACGTACATGTACATTTGTACATACTGTAACTGTGCTAACCATTTTATTACTGAAAAGTAAAACCATTTTTATTACTGAAAAGTAAAACATTATTCCAGATGGTAGTGCCCAGTCACCCCTGAAGAACCTTATTGTAACTGTTTACTTTGTTACAGTCTAAAAACACATTGATGTGTTTTTAGACTGTATGCTACAGACAGCTTATGCTTTAGACAGCTTTATGCTTTAGACTGTATGCTTTAGACAGCTTATGCTACAGACTTTATGCTTTAGACAGCTTATGCTACAACTTTACAGAGCAAGTACTCTAAATAGAATGTTTTGATTTCAGTGTTATTGCATGAGATAGATGTATTGTGGAATTTAAAACATTTTGTTTGGGTTATGTACATGTACTCATATGTAGCCTAGCCTACATTGCAAGTCTAATTTTTACACTACAATTTTAATGTACCATATATTTGTGTATCTTGTGCATTTATTATTGTAATTATTATTTATGCAATTTTTAGCGAGCTGTAATGAGTGGCCTTTCTAAACGTGGAGCAGTTATTACTGGTACTGAAGCTAGTGAGGACTATTTCACCTTGTTCACTAGAGTATGTTTAATAATTTCTGTCAGTGATACTAATTACTTTCATGTAGGTTCCATTAAACAACATGTTTGGCTATGCAAGTGAATTAAGGGCAAAGACACAGGTAATAATTAGCTGTTTCCAATCCATTAAAATTGTTTCTGCTTTTCCTTGTGGGATGGATCAGGCAAGCTTGGCCTTGTTAATATAAATTATGTGTGCAATATTTTGATAATCAAAATAAGCAATGCATGAACTGGGCATACATGTATGTATGGAAAATTTATGAATTTAATTAAAATGGTCCTACATGTATGTATGTATTTTTGTACTTGCCACAGGGTAAAGGAGAGTTTTCAATGGAATATTGTAAATATGATGTTGCTCCTGCTTTCGTACAAGCTGAACTGGTAAAACAATATCAAGATGAACTACAAGCGAAATCAAAACACTAACTTGTACTTTATATGATATTATTATTTATCATTGTTTTGTTAGCATGTGTGTAGTATTTATGTCAACAAAAGAGTAGTCTTAAATAATCATGTGAGCTGGGTGTGATAATGCATATCTGTTACTGGCACACTAGCTGTTCAGTTAAGAAGACAAGATGAGCTCTCAACCAGAATATACTGTCACTGAAATGCAAGAAGTAAGGATGCTTTTAGCTTTATCTGTTAATTGTCATGTGATAAATTAGACACAAGAGGGGGATATGGTGAGGTATGGATCAGTTGATCATCTTGATGTTAGAAGAGGAAGCATTGGAGCACATACCCTGGAGCATTATGCCAGTGCTCACTTCAGGAAAAGTAACACACGTGGTCGAAGAACCCTTAGGAGGACTTTTAGTGGCCAGCTCCATCACAGGCAACAGACTCGGAACAATTTGTGGCGATTTTCTCTTGATCCCATTCAAATTCCTTTATTGAAGAAAACATGTGAACTGTCTCAGGAGCTACAGCACAAAGCATGCTGTTGCTTTAGATATATCCTTAACTTTAAGTAGAACTTATATAATAGTGTGTACATGTATTGTCTTTCCTTGACTATCTTTGCACATATAATGAAGTATATGGGAGACTATCCAACTAGAAAATCCACCATCAAGACTGCTCTTACTGACAGCATATTCCAACCACCACTATCTCATGTATGCTATATTATGAATTATTCTCTGCATATGAACTGTATTGTTCTGTAGGAAGAGTTGCGTGATGAGATATACTGTCAGATAGTGAAGCAGGTTACACAAAACAGGAAGAGGTAGTCAAACTCTACAATACATTTAGTTAGTTTATTTCAACAGATCAAGCGAAGAACGTGGCTGGGAACTTCTGTGGTTTATATCTGGTTTGTTTTCACCTTCTGATCCTGACCTTTTAAATGAATTGGAGTTGTTTGCTCAGTCCTATAAAGAACTCTGGCCTGTTGCTTCAGACATACAAGAACGATTATTTACAGTCTCAAAGTGAGTGTAAATATTGAAATTAGACTTAATATTATTATTTACAGAGTTCCTTTTTGCCGTATATATCCACCTCATATTACTGAGGTAAATGCCATTCAAAACAAGACACAGAATCTTTACCAGAGAATATTAATTCCTGATGAATCTAGTCAAGTAATCATTTTGTGATTTGCATTTGTATTGATTGTATCGTTTTAGGCAGTTCAAATTCACTCTTTGCTCAAGTGTCAAGAGATTTGCTCTCAACTTGTTGAACTGTTGGGTCTTCAATCAGCTGACGGATTTGGGCTTGTATTAACTACAGAGAATGATGTTTTTGCAAGCTACAGTGATGACTATTTCATGGATTTTTTACATGAGTCAACCAAGCATGTTTATTCTACTGGCTCTGGTATGCCTCATGTATATACATGTACATGGCTTTTATTCTGTAGTACATCTACTTCTAACAGATAGTGATGATCTATATCAAATTGTGTTTGTCAAAATACATTATGTTAACACTGATGTTGGATGTGATTACACTGCTGATATAGTGTTTCATTTTCCTCAGGTAAATGTAATATGACAATTTTTGTAAAATAGGTACTAATTTTACAAATTACTGCTAACTTAGATTCATGTTTTCATCAATTATAGCTATCAATGTGAAGTGTGTTGAAATATATTTTGTTTGCCACAATATAGGAGTTGTCAAAATATCTTCATGGCTGTTACAGGGTCAGTGCTGACGAAGCAACTCAAATTGGCTCGTACATATATCGTTCAAAGTTTGGTTCTCAACCTTTTCACCTTGATAGTTTTAAGTACATTCATAACATTTCACATATAACTGCCATATATATCACTTATAGTACCCTAATACCTGATTTAGTTCCTTTGCAGTCATACACAGAGCACACCTTAGTAGACTGGGAAGATGTAAGTGTCAATTTAATAACCATACATTTGCAGTAACCTTTTTTAACAGCAAATCTTAAGCAAATACAGGCAGCATTCTATTTTATCGCCCGAAGAAGCAAAAATTAGCTTCTTAAAATGCTTAAGTAGATGGCCTGTCTTTGCATCACATTTCTTCGAAGTTACAGTAAATAATTGATTTTTAGCTACAATTTATCATTATTTTTTTAGCAATATCTTGGCTTAGGGTTGAAAAGGGACAGAATACTTGCCATTAATCAGAATTACATATTACTTCTGAATGAAAACAATGTAAGTTCAGTGAGTGATTTATTTTAATAAAACTGCACATCTACAATACTGCATAGGATGTTGTGGAGTCACATTCCTTGTCTTCAGTAATCTCATGGAGCTATTCTGTTAAAGCACATCAGCTAAAGCTGTCACTAAAGACAGGAGTAGTGCTATCCCTTGTAACAACTCTAGTAAGTCATACTGTACATGGCCATTGTTGTTACTGCATTGTTATTTATGCCATAGTACTATGAGATAAGTCAGCTATTGACATACTATAGCAACTATGCCAGGACAAATAAAGACACAATTCATACAAAGCACAGGATATCAATATTATGTGACTCAATAGCATAATAATTATTAATGTAGCAAGTTAATATTATATTAATAGAAAAAGTTTGTTCTCAAAGCCATGGGGCCCATGAAAAATTGTCGAGCTCAATTACAAGGAACATCACAAAACCGAGAATAAAAGAACCACCAATTACTAGTGCTGGGGATATTGGAATACTGGCCAGTTTTGCCTATTTATTGAAGGACAATGCATACATGTACACTAATAATTGCTCATTACTTTTAGCTGAATGCTACCGCAATAGTTAACAAATGAGTCCAGGTCCAGTTGTGGTGTATCTCTGTAACTAAAAGGACGTGTTCTAATCTCTAGTGCAGTTTTTTTTAGCCAGCAGCCAGAATGAGTCACACGGGCAGCCTGCAAATCAAATTAATATACTGGTAATCAAATGAACTTTTCTGGTATATAATTAAGCCAAAAGTAATTTATTAGTCACATATTATTAAACAAAACCCAGATTAGTGTTGATAATAGCCTACTTGTATTAATGGTAGTAACAGCCACAGGACCCACTGTATAGTACCAAGTATAGAGGTTGTTGCCACTATAACAAGATCAGGATCAGAATGCTGCAACTTTTGAAGGCCCCACAATGCTAAAAAGAGCACCAATACAGTATTAAGTAAATATTTAATTTTTTAATTTTACAACTCACAGATAACTGAAGAATAAAGAAAAATGAACATCATAGAGCTAACAGCTCGTGACAAGTGTCCATTAAGTTTGTTCATAAACTGTCGAGCTGTATGAACTTGCTACATGTAAACAAAATTACATTAAAAAATCACGCTCTTTTTTAAACAGTTGAATACCTTGATAGCTTCATCAATTTCCCATTCTTTTGCTACTATACGATTACATATACTTTGAATGTAGTAGACCATGAGTTGGCACTGCATTGAATAGTTGATGACAGCAGCAGTGTAGGCAATGTCGAAGACAATGAAACCAAGCAAGGAAACAACAATCAAAATGAGTTTAACGATAACAGGGATACTATTAGAATAGATACAAAAATTAAACACGAATGAAGATACTAAGCCTACCGTCCCAAAAATTCGAAGTCTACATCTCTCTCATAATGATGAGCAAATACCCTCATAATACTGACACACAGTGAATACACAATCCACAACAATCCCAATAACAAAAAGAATCTAAAAATAACAATTTTCTGCATTATGATTCAAATACCAGATTAAATACCTTAATGATCTAATGAGATTCTTTGGTGAATAGCTACCAGTGCGAGATATAATACCCAAAAATACCTTAGAACAAATTCAATGTATGTACATGCACATGTATTATAATATACTTACTGTTTCAATAAAAGTAGAGAGGTATTCACTCAATTTAAAACGAAAAATATAGAGACCATAAAGGTAAGTTCCAACCAACAGAAAATCCAAAATAACAAGCGAACTGAAGATGTGATCAGAGCATGTTATTTCTGTTATATTTGTGACACTGTTTGGTGGATTAGATTCAATCTAAAAAATAAAATTTTAATTGGTACAGTCCGTAATTGTTGTAATGCCTCAAGGTTTATAGTAATGCACAGAAGAGACTCACCAAATCCCTACTGAAGCAGAGAAGTATTTGAGTGACACAAGACATTATCAGTAACACAGTTAAGAAGAATGGCCAGAAAAAGTTACAACACATAAAAGGCCATGTTCGCCGCACCTCATATGTCACAGCTTTGCATCTTCGCCAACCAATCTTATATCCAGAAAATAAATAAAATAGAAAAGAGTTACAATTTTTGCTTACGCATTTTAGGAAGATGTAGTATGGTGAAAGGACTGTTTTCTTACAGTTTTGTAAGGCAGTGGCTGTCATATCATCACCAAATGTATCGTTACCAATACTAGGTGCCTATGGGAAAAACAATTGATATCGTTACCCAACTGCAAGTACATACAATGACTGTAGTGAATCCACTAGAGTTTGGAGAGCTTGGATCATTTTGGAATTCATCGTCACCATTTATGTCAAAGTTAGACACCTAAAACAACATCAAATCATATAGTGTAGTAAAAATGTACCCGGTATTTGAACCCAATGGCATTATCGACTACTTTTTGATTAATAGAAAAATCACACTATGCACTCACTATTGTTCTAAACAGTAGTATAATTAGCATAGGATAAACCTATAGTGGTGGTTTTATAAACAATGAAGTTAGAGATGTCTTTCAACAAAGGAGTGATTAAAATATTAATGTTCTAGCCACAAAATTAGATTGTGTTATAGCTGAAAGGGGTTCATTCAAAAATCAAAAAGCTAGTTTCAGAGGGTGTAAATATTACGCATTTTAATATCATAGTGACAAACTGTTACTATTAAGAATAATAACCGGTAACATTGTTTTAGTCCAAAAATTGTTCAGAACAAGATTCTTCCCTTTGCTATTCTCTTCTATTAGATGAAAGGTCCTTCAAAATTAGATATATCAAGAGTGTTATTAAGCTATTCCACTAAGTCGTATGTTTGATAAGCAAAATTGGCAAGCAATTAGCCCAATGAACTTTCAATTGGCCCACACCTATAATACAAGCCCATAATAAAAGGTCATTTTGGGTAAATTTGCTGCAAAAGAATCAAATCCTTTATTTAACTGGAGCAAAAAACAGCACAAAATTTGACTGGATTGGCATTACCAAACAATCTGCTGAGCCACTTGCACAAGTTTCTGGCTACTATGTTGCTTCTCATGAATTCTTTCAATGTGCACAATGCAGCAATGTATATTGTTATTAGACAATGGGTAAAATGGCTCTATCAGCAATTAACCTATTGTTATACATTTCAGTAATAGCAAGAAATTTTAAAATATAAAGCAGAAAGAAAGCCCTATTCTCCCTGAAAAGTGTATAACATCTAATTATATATGATATATTCATCGATAATACTTATTTTAGTGGTGCCTTAAATAATTAGAATTAGCAGGTCACCATCACTCAATGTCCTTTTAATGCCATTTTAATAGATTTCTAAGTTTTTTGTATTAAGATAACATTTTCAATTCTTTTAAATTCCTAAATAAAATCATAAAGTACACTCCAATGACTCCATATCCCACACATTAGTGGGTCAATTACTGATACACTACCCCCAATCCATATTGCAATGATTGAAAAAAATCATAAATGGCTGTCTACCAGCCTGTGAAAGGAACCAAATTCGAGTGGCACATAATGAGCTAAAACTTACGAATGTTTTGGGACAAAAACTATTGAACTAACAGAAAAAATTTCAAAAACAATGGCACAGTAACATAAACTACATACTAAAGCACAAATAGTGAAAACCAAACACTATAGTCTCTGATAACTAGAGATAGTCTCTGATAACTAGAGTAGCCCAGACCAAGCCCACTATCGAAGTGCATGCATAGCTGGGCTGACAAACCTTTGGTACCTCATGAAGAGCATTGCTGTCCGTTAATTCTACACGAGTCTTGCCACTGCCATAATCAGGAATACTTTCTTCTCTCTCGTCACTGTATATTATACCACCCTCACTCATTTTGAGTCGGGCTAAAAGTTGTATTTCCTCGTCTATGACTAACTTCTGTGGCTTGTAATTGTTGTAGTAGCAGTAGCCACTCCTCTGTTGTCACACGTGACATACCAAAGCATTTGTAATGATTTGTCGCGTACTCACGTGGGACCACAAAAATGTAGGCATGGAAAAGGCTGGGCCATGGTAAGGCCCTCCTCTTTTCGCCGGCCCCTCGAGGTGGCATTATTTGGAAAAGTGGTGGCAAAATGAGTATCAAAAGTGATGAAGTAAATTTCTTGGTCTATAGATACCTTTTGGAGTCAGGTAGAGTATTAGATCAGTTTTTGCTTCTAATTGATTTTTTAAAAATAGGTTTTCAGCATTCTGCATATACATTTTCTCAGGAGAGTCATGTGAAGCATACTAGCATTAACAGTACACAAATACCACCAGGTGCACTTATATCAGTCATACAGAAGGGACTGCAATATGTTGAGGCTGAAGTTAGCATTGCTGAGGTAAATGGGATTACGTAATGTATAAACCAACATGTATGTTCCAAACCAATTTAAATATTATTTATTAGCAGTTTTTAAAATTTCAACTGGTACAACTGAATTGATTGTGGCGATATGTAATTTTTTAGTTGTAGAGAAGTTTAGCAATGGGTTTGAAACTTTGAATGGGATTATTAGTATCTTGAAATAAATTAATGTTTTTTTCACTACCTGCCTATAAAAAACAAGTCAGGAGTTTTCTAGCAGCAACATAAGGAAGAGATTCTGCTTTTTTGCAGCTAGTAATCTACGAGGCTGAGCCCTTTAATGTTTTACATTGTTTCTAGTATTATAATTTGTAGCTTTTTATTTCATCATTTTCATGATGATCAAAATTACATTAAGCAAGTTTATTTTTATTATTTTGAACGTGTACTACACACTTAGGATGGTACAATATTAGAAGATGCTCCTCCATTGTCACTGATTGATGCTGTATCTTATGAAAGTCCTGGAATTAAAGGTGGTGGGGGTTTGTCAGTAAAACCTCTAAATTCACAACAAATTTCTACTCCTACACAAGGTATTGCTATGCATACATGTACATACATATGCATTCACATTGTCTATGATCAACTATGATTAGTAAAGCATCATAAATACATGTATGTGCAACTTTGTTAGTAAGCACTCCACAGTGCACAGATAGAGGCACCTGTGATTTTATTGATAAGTGCATGAAACTCAATAGTTTATTTCATTGCTATACATTTTCAGTGAATTTATGAAAAAGAATTTGCTCATTATCAAGAGACAGTCTTCTTTGTCAAAAATGTAATTATAATTATGTAGAAATAATACAGTTTAAGAACAATGGTCCTATACTTATGGCTATTTAGCACCTCATTCAGATTCTTATTGTATGGGTTCATGTGACGATTCTTTGTCAACTATAACATATTCTATCATTATGCTAATTTTCATAATCTGTCACATGATTTTTGATGTAGAGCCAATGTCAACAGAAAGAAATGATAATGTTCCAGCAACAGTGACTGATCATCCTCCTAATCTAGTAAAGATATTGCAAGGTCATGGATCTGAAGTGTTCACTTGTGCCTGGAGTCCAATAGACAACACATTAGTGACAGGGTAAAGAATCTATACCATCATGTACATGTATATTGTAGCCTCGGGATACTTTTATTTTCTTAAGTTTTCATAAATCTTGCAATTATACGAATAAATTTAATTTTCTGATGGAGGAAAAAAGCAAATGTAGCAATGAAAAATTTCCTAGTTGTGGCATCTAATTAAAGATCATAATATGTAGCAAATATAATGTTTGAACTTAAAGCCATTTCATGATACTTTTATTGCCTATCTGACTCTGAATCAATTAGTATTAAAATTAATGCCTAGTTAGTTTTGTTTTTGTTCTTTTACCCATTTATGATTCACTTAATTAAGTACTTGTTGTGTTCTCAATTGATTGGAGACTCAAGCAGGTGATGGTTCTTTAAAGCATTTGTTGCAGATCAAAATTTTAATCTATTGATAGAGCCTGTTACTATGTTTACAGCCTACACACTATGAATAAAAGAGCTTTTTGTTATGATTTTTTAGTTTTTTTCGTGAACTTTTGTTATTGCTATTCACAATAATTATGTTCTGTTTTAATCATTGATTATGTAGATCTGGTGACTCTACAGCTAGGCTTTGGCATGTTGATGCTAATGATACATCACAGAATTACGGAGGATCTATTGTACTATCACATCAGCCTCTACCTGGTGTACATTTATCATCAGAGGGTGGGAATCGTGATGTTACTTCAGTTCATTGGAGTGTATGTTTGCTTTTATGTTCTTTCTCTCTACTCACTGTCATTTTTCTTTAAATTTGCCCCTTTCTTACTTTATTATTCTCCTTTTCTTTCCAATAGCCTGATGGTAGTCAAGTTGCTACAGGTAGTTATGATGGGGTTGCTCGGTTATGGTCTCTGGAAGGTGAAATAAAGTCTACTCTCATTCGTCATTCTGGCCCAATTTTTGCTCTCAAATGGAATAACAAGGGAAACTATATAGCAACCGGTGGTGTAGATAAGGTACAGTATGTACTACAATACATTTATTTCATTTAAGTATCAACACTTGCTCATGTGTTGGAATTTTGAAGTCTTTCCAACACTCAGTGAAATGATAATGTGTTTTTCTAGTTGGCAGTGGTTTGGGATGTCAACAGTGGTGATGTCCGTCAGTCTTATTCTCATCACAAATCTCCTACTCTAGATGTGGATTGGCAAAATAACACAACCTTTTCATCGTGCTCTGCAGACACTTTTATACATGTGTACAGACTGGGGACTGATAAGCCAATAAGAACATTCTCTGGACATAAGGTGTGATGTGTGCTGGAGGAGAGAGAGATATGAATAGTAATGTATTGTTGTTGATGTAGAATGGTGTCAATGCTATTAAATGGGATCCGTCAGGTAACCTATTGGCATCATGTTCTGATGATCACACTGCTAAGGTATCATTAATTTTTGGTGTTTTTAATCACTTTTTGTTGCATTAGCTTTGGAGTATGAAGCAGGAGACTTGGTTGCATGATCTAACGGAACATTCTGGTGATATTTATACCTTACAATGGAGCCCCACTGGTCCTAACACTAGTAATCCTAATGCTAATCTACAGCTAGCAACGTTAGTTACTGGATGAATTATTGATTAGAGCCTTAATCAACATTTTGTTTGTCTTGTAGTGCTTCATTTGATTCAACTGTGCGTCTCTGGGAGGTTGAGAGAGGAGTTTGCCTTCATACTTTAAGACGTCATCAAGATCCAGTGTATTCGGTTGCCTTTAGTCCTGATGGTCGTTATATTGCCAGTGGCTCTTTTGATAGGTGGTTATTTATCTGGTCAACAAGTAATGGTGCATTAGTGCGGCGGTACAGAGGTGACAGTGGGATATTTGAAGTATGTTGGAATAAAGACGGAACTAAATTGGCTGCTAGTTTCTCTGATCACAAAGTTAGTGTTTCTTAGATTATGAATTATTATAACTTTGTGCTTTTAGGTATGTGTACTGGATTTGAAAACATTGAGCAGCTAATGAGTTACATAGAGCTTAGAGATACTCCCGATATTACTTACATAGCATGCACATCTCACCCAACTCATCACCACCACTACAGTTACCTTTTGAATTTCAAAGTATAATGTCATGTTTGGTTTCATAATGTTAATAGTACAGTAACTAATAATAATTTATGTAATAATCGATAGAGTACTTAAGTAATAATTTATTGTGTCTGTTAAGATGTATATGCGATGCTTTTTGTTGCCTTTAACTCTTTGCTGCTGTCAAGTCTTCAATGAGAGATGTATAGTTAATAGTTGTAGCTTCTTCTGGCACATTTTCCTGTAATAATGGTAAAAGAAGCAGGATTATCTCAGTGAGAGAAGGACTAGGAGAATAAGAGAAGGAAGGGAATTTTTACTGGTAGTTTGTCTTGAGGCTCTACTGGATGTTCGACCCAGTTTACCAGCTGAAGAAATTCTTGGTATAATATGCCTGTTTTGCTTTTCTGACAGCTATCAATGAATTAATACATGTACATTATGAGGAAATAAAATTAATGGGCTTACTTTTCCATTGACGCTTCAATCAATTGATCAGAGACTGGAAGTTCAAGAAGTTGACAACCATGCAAGACTTGTCCTGTGGGCAGATAGCCTGATCCCTCTGTGTCTAATGATTTCAGTACACTTTCAAGCTCACTATAGTGGTATAGAAATACATGTACATGTATTATCTGAGATTTCATTCTAATGGCAAGCTTACCTAAACTTTTGGAATTTATTTTTTTTCAAATCGGCTTGAACCATTGTGGTCAATGAAGCAAGTGGTGGTCTTTTGGCTGTTTTGTAGTAGCGGCAGAGTGTGAGTACTTCATGCTCATTGAGTAACCCATGAGCCAATCCTTTCACTAGGGTTCTACATTTATGATTTGTGTCAAATATTGTTAGTGAAAATTTCTTACTTAAATTCTTCCTCAGTTACAAAGCCTTTTTTGTCAATATCAGCATCATTGAACGCTGTCTTAATTTTTTCAATATGTGCAGTAGCTGGTCCTTTCAGTTTAGAGAGGATAAGATTTATGTTTGCATGAGGGAATTGATCTGAATTTGATTCCATGTAACGCATTGCATACTCATCAGCTTCAGTCAGAATGAATGAGAAATTATTGAATACAACTTCTGCTCCAATGTAGAAATCCTATTATTGTAAAATTTTTAAAATTGATGCCTTTAAATTTGTGCTCTTTACCTCAGGTTGGTAGTATACTGAAGGATCACTTTCATTTGCTTTAGGTTTGGCTACTCTACATCTCTCAAGAAACTTACCACCAATAATTCCTAATAATAATGATGACACTCTATCCTTATCGATAATCAATATCAAACCTGAATTTCTAATAGGTGGTTCATAGACTGTTAAGGTGTCATCAGACAAATAATAAGATACAATGAACTTCCTTCCAATATCAGTGCTTGTATTTGAGTTTAAACAAGCTACAAAACGCAATACGTTGCTCTTCAGACCTTGCCTAGTACGAAAATTATTCCTATAAAATGCTGTTGAGTGTTGATATTGATTACCTATCCTTTTCCATAAATTTTGCATGATCTTTACGGGGAGCTTTTGGAATCAGGTGAAGACAGGAAGAAAGTGAGTCTTCTTCAGAACCAAATCCAGTGTATGGTGGAAGATCATTCTTAATCTCACGAGCACTACTTGCTGGAAACTGGATTGGTTCAAATTTCCCTGTTGAACATGTAATGTTAAAATGCTTGATAGAAGTGAGTTAACTTACCAACATTGTACTTGGTTGAATAAAAATTTTTAGTAAAGTCATCACAGTCACACAACAATACTTTTCTGCCCCAAACATTTAAGACGGCTCCAATAGTCAAATCAGTTTCATGATAGTATTCATTGTGAACTGCTCCAGTCTATATTATATTGTACATCTTTTCATTGTGCTGCAAAATTTCTGTGACTTACTTTCAGTGCATCTAATATATAACGTCCTCCATGGCCAGTGGGTCCAAAAACATTAAGAACAGTTCGTTTTGTTTGAACTCCAGGTTGATACATACCAGGAGGATTCTATTGTATATACATGTATTTACCAATTATCATGAATTATTGTATGTAAGCATTAAGTCAATACCTTTGGCAACTTTTCTCTTCTAAGGAAAACTGGTATAGAATCTCTGCCAGAATTTTGTGGAATTTTTTCCAATATTTCAATAGTATCATCAGCCAAATAGTAATGCAATACAAGCTCATGAGGATCACCAAATGTACTGTACATATCATATGATAATATTAATTGAAAGGTTATGATTTGAGTTACCAACCTGTCAGTATCATCCCACAGGCAATAGAAACGCAATACCTGTCTATCACAGTCCAGAAACTGCCTCAGAGTGTCAAGCCTTTCATATGGTCGGTGAGGTTGCATAGAACCTATCATCTGTGATAATGGTAAATTGAACTCCGATCATTTGAAGCAATGTTTATACCTTGTCACGATGCTCACTGTATGGATCACTTGGTGCCTCAGCTGCTGGTGGCACTTTGGATCCAAGCTTGGCCAGAAAGTTTTTTGTAAACTGATCACAACCCTAAAGTGTAGTAATAAAGCTATGATTAATATCATTGTACAAACAGTGATTTGAAACATCTTTGAGTAGAGTTGCACACAATGCCCAATGTTGAAGTGTTCCACAGTGTAGAATTTGTCATCATCAGGTGGAGGAAGAGGTATTCTGTGGCGACGAATCAAAGTACCTAATGATGTAAATTAATGACTTCAGTTGTGACTAATAGTTTGCAACCTTGAGGTATTCCGCTATTTTCTATCTGCTTCTCATTAACTTGAACACTATCATCTTCCAAGTAAAACAGAATAACACAGTTTCGAACACGAAATTGCTCTTCACGCTTTTCTTCAATTCCTTCTTGAAAGTATGCATTAAACCTCAATACCTACACAAAATGGGCAAAATATCAGGAACACTTGACTACATGTACACATGTATGTGTGTCAGTAACCGGTTCAAATTTATTAAAACTATATACAACAAAACTGACCTGTCTGTCAAATGCTACCCAGGCAGGTTCTCCTTTATCTACACCCTCAGGATAAACACTTCTATTCTTATCAAGCTGGCCACCTTGGAGATTTAAAGTTAGTGCAAGTTTTGGCAGATCACTATGATGCTACTCACCACTTTCTGCAGATTTATTTACTGGAACGTCTGCATTGTAGTCAAAAAATTGAGCCTTGTGAAAATTTGTCCTTCCAAGCTTTACATAAAAATAAATAATAATGATGAGTAAAAAAAGAAGCTTACATTTTTATCGAAACTGTTTCCTGGCAGTAGCGGCAGAGCCATCTTAGTTTATCAGCAAAGTGACTGTTGTCATAGCAACATCAAATTGGTAACTCTAATTAATGCTCATCTGAATACCGTATTTAGAATTTCTATTAAAACATTCACACATTTCAATTTTTCCTCACTCTGGACGTGAAACGTGCTCATTTTTGCTTGTCACTGTGTCTGTTTCTGGATATTATCTCTTGTTTTTTGTCCTTTTGGATTGACTTGATCCTTCTTTCAGAGTCTTTTTGGCGAGGAGACAAGGGGAGGGAGAACCAACTTATTGAGAGAGGTGTGGTTTGTTACAAGTTATGAGTAGAGGCTCTTCTCAAAATGGAATGTCAAGTCTAGAACAGCGAGTGAGTTGTACTGACAGTTATACTGACATTTATCTATTGAGGCTGGGTTAAATCGAGAATGAACGTTTGATCAACTTTTCTTTGAAAGGCTAATTTAACACAATTTTTTTGTTATTATTGGTTTATAATAGTTGGATTTGTAGCTGAGGGATTATGCATGTTTTAACTTTATCAATTTATTTGTGATGCTTTTTGTTTTGCTTTCTATTTTGCATTGTCATTCCTCTGTCATGGGCTGTGTATTGTGACCTTATTTTACTAAGTGATAACACAATGAGTCAGCACTTAGTTTAATGTATTGTGTGTGTTGACTCATTGTTCCTATGTATTACACATGTACACATTTGTTACGGTCAATCAACCACCCTATTTGTTTTTACCAATTCATGAATTTTGGGAATACAGTCAGTAATGTTGCTAATTTTAACAAGTTTGTGGCTTCTTGGAACTCCATGTGTATTCTGAAAATTGCATACAGTACATAGTATATCCATGTACACTGTACACTGTGGCTATTTTCAAACTGATGCTTCATCACTAATGGCTCATGTGCAGGAAATCCATTCATGCTATTGTAAATTTGCAATGAGGCATTTGTATACATTTATGTTGCTTTATGTACATGTACATGTGTAGCTTGCTATGTGGTAGTTTTTTATTCATGAACATGTGCTATAGTTATTTTGATGGAAGTCGACTTTCTTTCTTGTCTGTCACCAAATGCTTGTTTAATTCTATTATAATACTGTAGTCAATATTTGCTGGTTATTATTTGATGTCATGGTTCTATAGGTTGCTGGTCTGGACTTGTCTAAGAATAAACAATCCAATAATTCTACACATAATTCAGGAAGAGGTAAAATACATGTACATGTACATTGTATTTTTTGTGTCTAGTGTGGTCTGTGGTGTAAAATATGGTACCACGTATGTGTCAGTCATTCCATTAGAGTGTTGTCATCTTGTAAATTACAATTATGATTAAGTGATCAGGGAATTCAATGAATTAAAAGTGATCAAACCCCCCTTACCTTAGTAAAAAGGACACCATAGCACTTGTGAAAGTGTCCTTAATATTTAGCATCCTTTATACATGTACACTAGCTCTTAGGTTGGTATATTTAGGAGTCAATAGTGTACTTTGTAAAAGGGAGATGCTGGGGCCCTTACCTTAAAGCATGGATCCAGAGATAATAACTGTTCTTAATATACACATTGCACATATTTATACTGATCTTGAACAAAATGCCATCAGATGCCATTAATGGAACTGTGCTTGTGATATCCTTCATTAAGGACTTCTTGTTATCACAATTGCACCGGTTTAGTGCATAAAACTTGCATGTGAATTTTTTATGTACAGTAGTAACATTACCTTACATGAAACCTTGTTCAGTAATGATGTTTTGTAACCTCTTCTCAAAATTAAGACTTTGTTATCAAACTCTGACTTAAGGACATCCTTCTAATCAAGACACTGAGAGTAGTGTCTGTATTTTGAGGTTTCATTGTACAACTAATTATTTAATGTCTTCATTGACTCAAGAGCACATGTATTTTATGTTATGTTGTGTAAAAATTTTGAGCTGATTTCCATCAACAGTGAATTTATGATTTTTTTAAAATTGCTCAAAATACCATAATTGCTTGTCAGCTCATGAAGCATGCTATTTGGCTCACTTAGTGATGGCATGTATGCTTTGTGATCTAAAGTAACGTAAAGGCTCAATTAAACCACCTACTAATTTGCTAATAGTTAACATCATTATCCCCTGATTTCATGATTATTTTGCTTACACTAGGACGTTATATTCCACCTCATCTTCGTAACAAAGATTACATTGAAGAGGACGGACGGAAGGATGGCCCACCTCCTTCTGGTCAAAGAGGGTACGATCAAAGAGATGTAAGGTCATCATCTTATTCTGATCATCGTCGAGGAAGTCGAGGCTATGATGACAGACGAGGAGGAGGAGGGTATGACCATAGAGGACGGGATTCCTATGACCGTTATCGTGGAGACTCATATGATCGTCGTGGAGAAGACGCGTATGATCGCCGCGGCTCTTATGATCCAAGGAGCAGGGATTATGATTCTTATGAACGTCGTGGTAGCGACCGTGACTTCTATGATCGTTCAAGAAATGACAGGCAATACAGTGGCAGTAATCGTGATACGCCATCAGATAAACCCAGTGGAGGAGGAGGAGGAGGGGGTTATGATGAAACTGATAGTGCTCCTCAGTCTGTTAAGGTTTCTGATGATAAGAAAAATGACAAGTTTCATGATGGAGATCAGTATGACTCTCATCGTGACACTGGGGGGCGGTGGGCCCAATTGGACTATGACAGGCGCTACTCTGGACCGAGATATGATGACAGGAGGAGCAGTGGCCGTTATGTGGAGAGGCGTGGCTCACTTCCTGTTCGTGGTTTTTATGACAGGGACTCTACCACCTGGGGCCAGTATTCATCTGGTTATGGACATGGCCCACCCAGTCAGTGGGATAGGGACGAATGGAAACGTCCTCTTCCAAGCAACCCAAGACTTGAAAAGTAAATTTACTGAGATTTACATGTATACCTACCACATGTACATGTATCTGCTTTTTTGCTAGACTGTATAATGAAGTACCATGTACTATAGTTATACATTTATATTTTTGCAGTGGTATAGAAAATGAACTAACATGCCAATTAATCTTATGTGCTGTATGCATGGCCCATGCGCATGCATGCATGTACAATGTACATGAATAATGCAATGGGATAGATTTACTTATAATTTGTAATATGCATGCTGATATTCTTAATTGAACGTGTACATGTACTGTACATGTACACGCATTGAATGTTCATTTATTTTTTATCACAAAGAGAGTAGATTTCATTGTACATGTACATGTACATGTACATGTACTTGTAATCTGTAAGTTCATTTAAAATTGAAAGTCCATGTACGTATACATTGTATTATGCAGTATTGTTAAATGTGAATTGTTTCCCTGTACTATAGTGAGCTTTTTGGAGGTGCCAATACTGGGATTAACTTTGACAAATATGAAGAAGTGAAAGTGGAAGCAACTGGCCAGGACTGTCCTAAGAATATTGAAAATTTTTCTGACATGAATTTCAGTCCAATCATTCAGGAGAATATAAAGGTTCCCCATGTTTGCAGTATTGGACTGTTTGTTATTAATGACTACTTTTAGTTGGCACAGTATTCAAAGCCTACCCCAGTTCAAAAGCATTCAATTCCTATGATAATGAATAGACGTGATCTCATGTCCTGTGCTCAGACTGGATCGGGGAAAACTGCAGCTTTTCTCCTCCCAATCCTCAGCCTCCTGTTTGAGGATGGGCCTCCTCCACCTCCTCCTGATGTAAGAAATTGAATATAATTGCAATTGCTTTTTTTGTGTTTGACATGTACATACATGTATATTTTCTCTTTTATTGTGTATTTAGTGCCAGCAACACTAGCTCTGTTTATGCTTTGTTTGTCCTAGTCCTCCTAATAAATTGTTTTTGTGACATCTAATTAGAATTTCGTTTATTTAAAATGCATGTACTGTACATGTAGTAGCGTGTTATTGTGACATCCTGCACAACTTGATAGTATGAAATGTATTGGTATTATTGTTTATTTTTGCTAGCAATTACTGCATATTAGCAGATGCACCGACACTCTACATTATCATAGTGTCGCTACTGATGTTTTTACATCTGTGCAATGAACTATAATACACTATGCAAAACTTTTAGTTGCTGAAATTGTTATTGTATGCCGTACTTATTGTTTATTAAATATAATATTGTTTTTCCTTTATGGTGTTTTTGTAGCCACGTTATGCATCAGGGAGACGTAAGCAGTACCCACTGAGTCTCATACTTGCTCCAACTCGTGAGTTAGCCTCTCAGATTTATGATGAAGCAAGAAAGTTTTCATATCGCTCCCGTGTCCGTCCGTGCGTTGTGTATGGAGGGGCTGACATTGGTGGACAGATCCGTGACTTGGAGAAAGGTTGCCTGTTGTTGGTGGCTACTCCTGGCCGACTGGTCGATATGTTAGAGAGAGGTAGAGTTGGCCTAGAACTTTGCAGGTATTGTGATTCTTGTGTACATACACCTAATAATTATTGGATTACAAGTTCACTTTTGTTGTCTTGTTAGGTTTCTTGTGTTGGATGAAGCTGATAGGATGCTTGATATGGGCTTTGAGCCACAAATACGTCGTATTGTGGAGCAGGACAGGATGCCACCTTGCGGTGAGCGTCAGACCCTCATGTTTTCAGCTACTTTTCCAAAAGAGATGCAAGTCTTAGCCAGGTACAAGTGACAATAATTTTTGTGTTATTATTTCGTGTTTGCTCATTTCTAGGGATTTTCTTGATAATTATATATTTCTTGCTGTCGGTCGTGTTGGCTCTACAAGTGAGAATATCACTCAGAAGATTGTGTGGGTTGATGAATGTGACAAGAGATCATTTTTATTGGACATACTTGATGCTTCTGCTGGTACATGAATGTCAATTGGATTAATATTGTATTTATTATTTGTTGTTTTTAATTAGATTCCGGTGCACTGATACTTGTGTTTGTTGAGACAAAGAAAAGTTGCGATGCTCTTGATGATTATCTGTATAACCAGGGATATCGCTGTACATGTATTCATGGTGACCGCTCTCAGGTTCAGAGAGAAGATGCCCTTAGGAGTTTTAAATGTGCCGAGACTCCTATACTTGTAGCTACTGCTGTGAGTATTATTAATTCCTAGCTATAATTGCATTATTACTAATAATTTTTGTTTTCCTTAACTGCATGTCTATCTCTTAAGGAATGTTACTTTGTTTGTCTTATTCCTATTAATACGTGTAGGTTGCTGCTCGGGGTCTAGACATTCCTAATGTCAAACATGTTGTCAACTTTGATCTGCCGAATGACATTGAAGAGTATGTCCATCGTATTGGGCGTACCGGCCGTGTTGGCAACCTTGGCCTAGCTACGTCATTCTGTAACGACAGGAATAGGAACATTTGCTCTGATCTATTGGATCTTCTCATTGAAGCACGTCAAGAAGTTCCGTCATGGTTGGAGAGCATGGCTTATGAGATAAAGGCACAGAGCAAGATGAAGCAACAAGCTAGAAGGTACTACAATACGATGGTAGCTTTTATCTTCTATTCCTTATAGGTGGGGAGGTGGTGGAGGGTTTGGTGGAAGAGATTATCGTCGTAGCTATAGTCAACCTTACACTGGAGGAGGTGGAGGCGGTTATGGCTACCATCATCACGGACATGGAGGCGGAGGTGGGGGCAGCTCTGATTGGTGGAACTGATGAAACACTCTTACTTATTACAACTACACTAGTTATCTTTGCTGATTGTTAATGCACACTAAAAAAATAATAATTTTGATCAATAAAAATTGCTTAAAAATTATCTTTTGTGTGTATTGTGGGCGGAGAAGAACAGCCATACAATTAAAGTGCAGCGCCTCTCCTTGTGACTCTCGTGTCTGCTTGAAAGAAAGATTGTGAGGCCTTGTTCGAGATGCTGAGTCGCTTTAAACTACACCATGGTAAGAAAACGTGAATCTAATTCTTTTCATTGTCTAGTTTATCTGCAGGTAAAAAGTATCAGCCTCAACCTCGTGTGGGACACGCTATGGTTGCAGTTGGTGATAGAGTCTATCTCTGGGGCGGTTGGCATAAACTAGTCCCAAAGGTCCATTCCAGCTCAGAGAAGATAAAGGCTCTGTCCGTCGTAGAAATGTACAATATGAGAAGCGGAGAGTGGAGCCAGATACCGACCAGTGGTATGCCGCCACTAGGTGTTGCTTATCACGCTGTCACTAATATTGAGGAGGACATTTACTATTTCGGTGGTAGATGTGGCCACGGTGGCTGCCATCACAATAGTCTTCATTGTTTGAATTCCGTTACCATGAGATGGAAGGAAATTACACCTCATTCAAGCAGCAGCTTTAAGACGTCCCTCCCTATGAAGAAGGCCCAGTGTGGTATGGTCAGGTTCAGATTGCGTAATGAAGATTATCTTTTTATTTTTGGCGGGTATGGAGTTTTACCGGATAACCACGAGCCTCAAGCTATGTACATACCGAAGAGAGGGAAGCCCGAGTATGGATGGACAAATGAGGCTCACCTCTTTTGTATTCAGTCGGGTAAGTTGGTGTATGTACATTGTAATTTGTCGCCACTAGTGTTTTAAATTCCTTAAATATAGTGGCTTCGTCTGTTAACATGTGTTAAACATGTTCGACATGTGGGAAAATTACAGAAACCTTGTTACTAAAATGTTGATAATTATTGTTGGATCTACATGTGCATGTCTTGTACACCTGTCTTTGTTGTGGTATGATGAAATTTTGTTGACATAGGTTCATGGTCAGTACCTCATGTGACTGGTGATCCTCCTCCTCCATGCAGTAACTTCTCTGTGACAGCAGTCAGTGAGAATAGGGCTCTAATGTTTGGGGGATATCAACATGAAGGAATTCGTTTGCGGGATGTTTACATTGTAGAGTTTGAAAAAGAAAGTGTGGTGAGTCTATTTTCATTTTGTTACCTCTAGTGCCAAACTTTTCCTTTAAATTCCTGTCATGTGACAATTTGGTTTTCGTCACTAGTTTTGGACCAAATTATCCTCTCCTGCCGATTCAACTGTACCTTGGCCTGCTGGAACTTGTGATCACTCGATTGCATTTGCACCTGGCCTCTATAGCCCTAAGCCTTGCCCCTGTGTATTGATTGTTGGAGGTGAGAATGACAATGCTAAGGTATTAAGTGACTGTTGGCTTTTTGATTTACCCACTACAAATTGGACAAATGTAAGTTATGCAATACATTATTGATTTCACCTTCCGAGTAATATTTACTACTATTGTATATTCGGTTACTGTGAATCACTGAGTCATGTATTACATTTCCAGTAACTAATCCGTGCTATATATAGTTTGACTTTAGCTCCTGGCATTTTTATTTGATTTTTGTCCTATCTATCAGTTTAGAGTCATAATAATTCTACCAGTTACTGTTTATAGGTGTAGCTGTAGCATATAATCAAATTATTGCAAATATGACTGCTGACAGTAACTTATTAAATGGCTTCTAGCAATCTGACCTTTTATAATCTCATGAATTCGACACATATGCATATTACTATTATTGGTTGGCTGTAAACTACTTACTGTGGTTAATCATTGTTCTAATCTACTATAGACTATTTAATGATTTTTATGTGCTCTATTGAACCTGTATTATGATGAAATGTGGCTTACATGTGTATATTTATACTGAATTACTTTTCACAATCTGCTTGATAAAGGGGTTATTGTGAAAATAAAGAATCTAAATATTAGTCCAGCTATATATACATGGATAGTGCCTCTCACATTGTTATTTTACTGCATTTGTATCTAATAATTGATTTATTTTAGTTACTAATGAAGTTGCTGTGTATTAATTACATAAACATTTCCTATAGTGTGAATTAAATTACATGTGTCACGATATAGGTACCACTGCCACCTGTGGTAGCAGGCCGTCTGTATCATGCTGTATCTTCTTTCACATTGGGCCCTCACTGTGTGTGGCTGGTACTGTTTGGTGGAGTTGCTGAACTGGAAGATTTTAAAGACTGGCAAGAGCAGATTATGATGGCTGATACTGCTGTTGTTGAGTTAAGTGAGTTGTTTTTGTGGTGATCATTATGTTATTGATGAGTGCCTTAGTGAAAAGAGATAATGAAGGATGGACTGCTACTGTGATACTAGATAATTCATCAAGTGCTCCACTTCTTGACGAGTATGTTCGTAAGTTATATGACCGTGTGTTCCAGGGAAGGAAAGAGTGGATGCTTGTTACTACAAAGGTGAGTTTCCTTTATCTTACCATGATAATGCATACATTCTTCACTTAGAATGTTGCTCTATTGCCACTGGGGGAGGAACAAGCCAGAGCCGAGAGAGCAGAGCAAAGAGCTGATGCAGCAGAACAGGAAGCTGTTGAAGCTCGAAAAGTTGCCGAGGTTGCAGAAAAGAAAGTTTTACAGGCAAAAGAAAATGCAGTTAAGGCAAGCAGTTGCATTTCACGTGCGGTATGTGAATAAATATAATTTAATAGGAACGAAAAGAGTCAATTACACTCTTCAGTGATCTTTCTGATGCCAAGAAGCGAGCACAATCAGCCGAAATTCAAAAAAAGTCTTCCCAGGATGAGCTACAGAAGGCATTACTGGAAATAAAGCAACTTAAGCAGGAGCTCTCAGATATCAAGGAAAAAAGTTCTGAAACAACTGAACTTCAGTTGATACAATTACGCAAAGAGCTGTCCTTACTTCAGTCTACATCAATGACATCAGTGTCTTCTTCTGATCCTCTTTATTCCACTGATGACTTTTGGGCGCTGGAGAAAGATGATATAGATATGAATGAGCAGGAAATGATACTGCAATCTCGTACCGGAAATTTTTACAGTGGCTCATTTCGCAGAACAAAAGTTGGTGTCAAATGTCTTCGTAAGGTTCGGTCTTTTGAAGATTACAGGAAAGCAATGAGTCTCAATAGCAAGCTACACCATCCTAATATTGTTTTATTCATTGGTGCTACCACTGTTGAGGATTACATCATTGTTACCGAGTTCTCTTCCTTCAAAGCGTTAAATATTCATCTTGAAGAAGCTCCATTATCCCGTAATCATATCCTCTCACTTGCCAAGGATGTTGCATGTGGGCTTGCTTATCTTCACCTTCACCCAACTCCCATCACTCATGGCTCTCTTAGTAGTCACACAGTCCTCTTGGAACCTAAAGGCAATGGATGGAAGGGAAAGATCACCGATATAGGATTCTTCCCTTATATGGCAACACCTCTTTCTGCTTATGCTGCTCCAGAAGCTATGGATTCTGATAGCCTCTCTCCTTCATTAGACATATATGGTTATGGTGTTTTGCTAATTGAGATGTATTGCCGAAAAGCTCTGGGAACGTCGGGTAGCGAGCGAGACAAGCAGTTACAGCACATCAATTGGCCTCAGTTTGTAACCCTCATTCAGTCATGTCTTAGCGTAGAACCTGCAGATAGGCCTTTGGTCAATGACATTCTTTGTGACATTGAAAATTTGCATTAAATTAATTTGTTTTTGATTGACTGTGTATACTTTTTGTAGTATTAAATTTCTGCTGAGTCAGGTTTATTAATAAAATTATCAGTAAATTGAGCCCCACCCTAATTTTGAAATGTGGAGATTAAAAAGGAAGAAGAAGGCTTATACTAGCATTTGTCACCATTGTAACAAGTCTAAACGCCCAGCAATCAATGCAGCACGTTTGGGGCACGAAACTTGTCTGATTACTGCCTATAGGACATTAGGGGGCTTCAACGAAACCGATGATTATGGAGCTACACCTATTCACTATGCAGCAAGAAGTGGGAAATTAGATTGTCTGAAATGGCTGGTTCAAAACTCTGGTATATCTTCTAATGCAGTTGCAAAGAATGGGTCAACTGCTGCTCATGATGCAGCCGCTATGGGTCATTTGGAGTGTCTTAAGTATCTGATTGAATCTACTCAATGCTCAGTTCTCGATACCACTTCAGAAGGAGCAACAGTGCTGCATATAGCCTGCAGGTTTGGACAAACAGCAATCACTAATTGGCTTTTGGAAAGCACAGCTGCTGTCCCCAGTGACAAAGGTGCTAACGGTGTAACTCCAGTTCATATCTGTGCCGCTAAAAGTATGTTTCAAAATTAATCAAATTGGTACAATTATTAACGATTGGTTTAATGTCTAGATAACATCAGATGTTTGAAATGCTTGACACGACACAAATCATACATTCCAAATCAAAGGACTGATCATGGTGCCACTCCACTATACTTTGCAGCTCAGGAAGGAAGGTTGAGTTGACCATACTTGTAATTATAATTGTGATTTTTTACAAATAGTGTGGAGTGTTTGGAATTGTTGATAAATCATGGCAAAGGTGACTTGTACATCGGTGCTAATGATGGCATGTTGCCAATCCACGCTGCTGCTCAGGCTGGTAATGTAGAATGTCTCAAAGTACTTGTTGGCAGTGGTGTACCTCCTCGACAGAGATCAGCTGAAGGAGCAACACCAGCTCATTATGCTGCTGCCAGTGGACACGTATGCATTAAAAATTAATTTGTTTTCTGACCTTAGTCTAGGTAAAGTGCCTGAAGTGGATATTAGATAATGGTGGTTCTCTCACTGACAAAGATGATCTAGGAGGAATACCATTGCATGATGCAGCTGATCAAGGACAAGTGTGTATAATGTGTCCATTTTGTTATATATTGTTCCGATAGACAGAAGCAGTTGCTTTTCTTATTAAGAGAGGAGCTCCTGTGAATGTCGAAGATTTTGATGGCCTAAAGCCTTTTGACTTGGCAAGGGAAAACAACCACAAGGATTGTATGAAGATGCTTTTTAAAGCAATAAAGCCAGATATTTTGGTAACTAAAAAAATAATGTGGTAAATTATTAATCTGACCTGTTAGACATCTTTAACCCCCCACCACAGTCTTAGCCGTGCTTCTCAAAGTAGTGATGATGGTGGAAAAACAGTGAGTTATTCTGTTTCAACCTCACTTACATTTTGTCAAATTCATAATACAGAATTCCTTTGACAAATTAGAAGATTTTAAATGGCAGTTTAAAGATACTGTGGTATGGAAGTACATTATTGACTCTCTTTGCATACTATAAAAATTATGTAGCTTTCCAATGATGTACCAGTACATCATAGTTCTGGTGAGCTTTCAAATGATTCACAGAGTAAGTATCACATAGCTAGTTTTGCTGCACACAATGACTTTAGGCTGGGCAATGGTCTGGGCAGCGAGACTACCATATAGCAGTATTGTGTTAATTGATCATAATGCATGAGTAATCATGTCTACAAAATTAATAAATATCATAATCTTTCTTTGATTAGAAGAGACAAATGATGACTTGACAGTTTCTCAAGAGCTTATAACTCCCAGTGCAGATGAGATTAAATTTAGAAGCAACAATTTTGAAGAAGCTATCGTAATTACAAGTACAAGTAATAATTCGTGTTTTGAAGAAATTACAGTTACATTTCAGGTAATTGCAATTATAATAAATAATAATTATATTGCACTTATTATAGAAAGAATCGCTTCCTATACCTCATCTTCAGCTAATTAGTGATGATGACCTGAGTTCTCCTGATAGAAGTGATGGAGAACAGTCAGATGATGATGGTAATGATGATGCATATGTGGACTTTAAACCACTCAGCAAAGAAGCATTCGAGTCTTTTGGTTGTGTTATGGACCCACCATTAATGGAACTATCCAAAAAAGAGGAGGAGTTGAGTTTACTAAACACAGGAGATATTGTCATTCATGAGCCCCTAAAAGAAGTACATACTGCAGAGTTACAAGTATCAGTAAATTGTATCAAGTAAGCTCTTAAGAAATTTAGTATATTGCACAATCTTTAATGATAATTATTTTCATTAGTAAATATGCATTAGAATCTTGGAATGAAGCACAGCGAACATCAACAGTGGAGTTAAGCATCCCACCTGTCATTGAAGAAGAAGATGAAGAAATAGACTTTTCAGAAAATGAGATAAAAGAAAAGGAAGACATTGAAACAGAAAGTTCAGGAATGATTGAAGAAGTGCATCATAGATCTCAAATGACACAAAAACTACCATCAAATGGAAATCATTCAGTCTATAGTCCTTTAATGGTTTCATTATCTGCTTCCAATGCACTTAGAAATGATGGCAAAGATGAACATAATGATTTACTGATTCAAAGTAATAGTTTCATTATCAATTAACATCATTATATATTTCTTATTAGAAGTTGATGATATTGATGTAGATGCTACATTAGATTGCAGTATGACTTTAACGTCATCTGAGATTGAGATATTGCAAGCAAAAGTAACTTGTTATTAGTTTATTATGATTATCATAAATTCATATTAATAGAGCATTGCTGCTGCTAAAAATTCAACTACTGTAACAAAGTCTTCAAAACAAGTATTAAAATGCATTTTAATAATAAATACACTAATTCGTAGGTCTTTATTCCTGTGGAAGTTGAAGGTGTGCAAACTGTTATCATTCAAGTACCTGAAGATGCCCCAGTCATTCAAATAATGTTTAAAGCTGTACATAAAGCTGGAATAGCACCTAATATCAACCATACCTTGTTTGAAGTTTCTGACCTTTTTAAACATGGTATGATTTCTTTTTAATAAATACTTTTAATCAATGATTGTGTAGAACGCCAACTAGAAGAAGATGAACTTCTACATACAATTACTTTTAGCTGGCCTAAAAAGAGTCAGCCACGTTTTGTTCTACGTAGCAATGAGAAAAAATACTTCTTATGGAAAGAGCCCCCTGTGAGGAAACAAAAATTTTTTAATGGAATATATACATTTCTTTTTAGTTTCCTATAAAGAGAATTACTGAAAAATCAACAGATGTAGGAGTTCCTCTTGTGAGTTCAAAAATGAGCTATTGCAAGCAAGGGAATAAATTAAAGTGGATAAGTGATACCTTTTACTTAAATCATTCTGGAATATGCAGCAGCAGCACATCAAACAAAGTAAGCTTATGTGAGTAATAAACATAATTTGTGTGCTATGTAGGGCTCAGCTGATAAGCAGAAAGTAATTGCTAGCATTGATCAATGTCTCTATACCATTGTTGATGGAGTTGCTGAATTGCATTCACATAAAAAGCAGTTTGTACAGTCGCTTCCAACACCATTTTGCTTTATAGTGAAGGTAAATTACAAATGTTAGAATCATATATATTTAATTTATGTAGCCTTTTGACTCTTGGAAGAAACAAGACTTTAAGATATTTTGTTGTGAAGATTACTCTTCATTTCAAATGTGGGTCAATGCCTTTCGCTTATTAAAGGTATATGGTGTAGAAAATAAATGTTCTTTTATTTTTTCCTGCAGCATGGACTGCAACTGAAGGCAAACTATGCAGCAATGAATACTAAAATACATAATATGCAAATGCAATAACAACTGTTATTTTTCATAACCTTACAATAACTAATAAAATAATTTTATTTACGCCCCATTGTAGAGGGCCGCGCCCTTTGCTGACTGGGTGCTGACTGGTTTTTGGGTGACCTGCCCTTTTGTTGGTGGCTAGCTATAACTATGAGCTCTTATGATACGCCATTAATAACCCATTCATACGAGGAATCTACTAGTACAAGGATGGACTTAGATCATAGTGGTCCCAGCACAGGTTATGTTGCTCTTCCCTCGTCTGATAATTCTGCTAATAGAGGAGGAAGCAGGAGAACATTGAATAGCACTTGTAAGTCTCGTCATTTTACATTATTATTTATAGTGTGCCTTATATTATTTAAATTTTTATATGGATTAAAATTATATAATTAGGCTGTGTCATACATACTTAAATGAAAATGAAATAAAAAACAAAAATTTCCTTTTGTGCTCGTGATACATATATTATATAGACCAGTTGGTATGGGCTATTATTGTAATTTTTCAAACAGAGCCTAGTCTCGTCTCACAGTTCAGACCTGGTTCGGAAGGAGAGGTGTTAATTACCGGACATTGCATTTTTATACACGATAGATGAGTACATACACAAGATTTTGCTTTAAAAGTAGATGCAAAAAGATGGAAGATTATTACACTATCTAATCAGCTACATTGATCACACCTATCTTGACTACACCTTCACCCTGAGCACAATGCTAAATGGCAGTGCTTGTGACAATTCTATGATGTTAAAATGAGTTTTTTATTTACATGTCATGATACATGTTTTATTTAAAAGTCTTTAAGACTGCAAGCCCAAGTGTAAACTGTCTTTTAAAGACAATATTATGCATTTAGACACATTTAAAAATCACTTTCTGTTTAGACGATGACACACGATACAAGAAAGACTGATACGTCAAGTAGATAAATGCAACAAATTACACAAATGTAAATAATTGATAGATGATTTTGGAATAACTGATGCAATGTCTATCTGCTAATTTCTTGCGAAATAAATTTTGTTTTACTTGCCTGTCATAAAGTGATCGAGGCTCTTTTGTGGTAAATTCATCATGTGACTGTAACATCATAACATGCAATAGCTTACTCAGGTTACTTATCTAAGCACTAGTCAGTAGTGATAGATGCCACATACGTATACATGTAAATTAGCAGAACACTTAGCTATACTGCAGCTGGCAGAATAAAATAAATCATACGTAAAAAAGCATTGCTATCATTAAACACTCACCTCCTGTCTCCTTTTTGTGTTAGGCTTCCACAAGATGCACACTGTTCTACCATTTACATGGTAGGTAGAACAGGTGTCATGTGTGTCTTCTTAGAAATTACTTTTGCAATAGAGTGATGGAATCAGAAAATGCAAGAATTTAATTTGCAACATGCATGGCCCCTGTACAATAACTGCATGTCAATGCCGCAAAAATTTGATTTAAAATTTTTATCTCCAAATTTTCGTAATATAAACTGTGTCTAATATTGCACATTATAATAACAACAAGGACCAACAGGTCTACATGTAATTGATGTTGCAGGTGTGCTATTATTGTATACATTGTATTAGCCTTTTGCTATGAATGAAGATTGGTTATTTCCCATAAGATTTTTTGTTGTGGCATTTTGAGTTTTGTAATTGATACATTGACTTTTGCTCCTTGTAGATTTATCTGGTAGGCAATCACAGCAGCAAAATGTGCAACACCTTTCTCTCTATTCACATGAGTATGTTGTTGTTATTGTGTGTTTTATTATACTACAATTATTTTTGTTTCACAGTGATAATGGTGATACTGCAGTTGAGGTATTGGATATACCCAGCAGAACATCTACTAATGATGATGAAACTACTGGAGGAATCATTGAAGGACGTTTAACAGCAAGTTTCACTGACTCGACTGGAGGATACGACAATTTGGTAATTTTTATAAAAAAATTGAGTCCTTTGCTTTATACTGTTGTTTTATGAAGGCTGGTGTTGGAACTTTTGGCTGGGACGAGCCTTCTACAACAATAGCACTTGATCTTTGCAAGAAATATGTTCTTAATCCTTATCATATTCTTCTCAAATTGGTATATGATTACTTTAATTGAATGGTGCAGATTTATTATCATTTAGATTGGCTGGAGGTCCTTTCGGTCACGTTTTGATCCTGCACCTTTGTACAAGAGGATTTGCAATGTTGTATATCCTATTTTTATTTTTAGCATGCTGATATTTGCCTGTATAGCACAGATCACTACATGTTTCTCAAGATCACAGGTTAGTTTATATTTGGTACAAGTTCCTTTTCTAATTTTATATTGTTTTTAGTCTCAAGCACCTGTGAAGAAAGGGAATTATTCTGTCTTGATGTGTGATGATCATATTGTTACTCAAGATTTAATAAGTTATCTGTTAATCTTGAGTTCTTATATCGTTGGATTTGTAATTTTTCGTTTTTCTGAGACAGAAAACCTCTCTTCCTTGTCTGAAACTGTAAGTGAAGAGAGAGAACTAGGACATAAGTAATTTTAATCTATAGGTATTCTTAAGTTATAATTACACAAGTGTCAATAAATCTAGAAAGAGACCTGTGTTTGTTTTACTGTATGTTGTATACAATTATTAATAGTACTAATTCTATATTTTTATATTTTTAGTGGTTTTCTTGTTTCTGGAGTACTGTGGTTCTTTCTTTCATTTGGAGTTAGTATATTACGTATATTTGCTCTAAAGTTGGACAAATCAAACACACTTATACACTGGTTTACCAACAGTACATACCAACTCACAATGTTAGTTTATATTATAAAACTTACATGTACATGTTACATGTATGCTAATTCTATATAGTGACCAACATGTCTATGATGGATTGCACTACTCACTTGTTTCTTTTGCAATGCTGGGATTTGTATTCTTTGATCTTTTATACATTGCAGTGGTTATCAATTATGCTTCACAGTGTCAGATGCTTTCTTTTTACATTGATAACATAGTTGACAAAGTACAAAACAAACACTATAAGAATTTAAATACTGCAACAAAAGTAAAGTTTCTAACAATTATTATTAATTTTAAAGAATTTATTATAATTTTTCTGTAGGAGGTCTATCATGTGTACGAGTTTTTGAAAGTGTTAAATGGAAAACTGGCTTTTATAACCACTGCAGTTATATTTGTGTTCGTGGTGAATGTCATTAGTTGTAAGTATTATTCTGACTACATTGTGCACCATTATTGTATTATTTTGTATTACTAGCTTATAAAGATCTCAGTGGAAATGATCCTCATTATGCAACTGGAATTGCACTTGGTTTTCTTAATGTATTTCAATGGATTTTAGCAGTTGTGTTCCCTGTAGCAATGGTAATAGCTTTTTAAATTCTTTAATTGTGATACTGTGTGTGTGTGTATAGGCCACTCTTCTCACTGCTAAAGGTAGAAGTATTCGTACTCTTGGTCTTCAAGTTGCCTGTAGACCATTTGTCTTCTCTGACACACCTGATTTAGAATTAGAGATGTTTTTGAATTACACTAATTCTACGAGATATGCTGTAAGCTACTTCTTTGTGATGCATGTGTATTTACTTACTGTATTATTCTTTCTATTTTTGTTTAGGCAAAAATAGCACTTGTTCCTATGTATCCTGCTTTTGTAATTGGTGGCTCTTTTATCTTATTCTTGCTTGTCACTTTGGGCATCTTTGTGCCACGGGTCAATTCTGTATCATGGTTTTAAAGAGTGGAAACTTTGTATTATAATAATATTATTTTTATGAACACATTGTGCATGCGTAATAGCTAGATTTATGCTGGCTGAATTAATGTTGAATTTTTGTTGCAATTAATTTTATTGTTTTGTCAAAATTGTATTAAACCATAGCTAACAAAGGATTATTGAAAGGAAGTTGGTTGGGCTTTAATTGGAAACAAAGTCTGACTCTGATTTATCATTTTTGGAGGAAGAGAAGACAGTATTATGGAAGGTTTTGGGAGCGCAGAGGTTATGTCTTATCACTACGGGTCGGTTGAGGATGGCTATGTTCAAAACCCGTCACTTGAACAAAGGCTTAAAAAGAAATATTGGAAAACGAAGCAGACAGTACTGACTAAATTGAAGAGGGACGAAGACGAGCACATTGTCGCTGGTGATGCTGACATTGATTTAAAATTAGAGGCAAGTTGCCCTGTAACTTGATTCATAGTATTGTAATCTTACTTGTGACAGCTTATATTGTTATCATGAATCAAATCAGAGACAATGGTTCATTGTGTCATTGATACTATGATTATGTGTAGTAGTGAGCTGTTTTTGTCTAAAAATTATCATGGACATGGTTAAGGGTACTACCAAACGGTTTTGTATTCTAGTTCTGTATTACAGACAATGTACTGTTGAGCAATAGGTTACTACATTGAGAAATTATGTGTTACTTAATCAAGATTTAATTTTTTGAATTTATTATTTTTAACGGGCATGTGTATTAATTTTTGCAAATTTTATAAAACTGCCATTTTAAAAAATACTTAGTACTTTCAAAATTGCATAATAATAATGTATTAACAGGGATAGGGTTTTATTGGAATTTATGAAACAAATACCATGGAATGGAACATTGATACCAATGGCTAATAATGTATGCCTATAATTAATCTTTTATTCCACTTCCTAAAAAAGTCTTTTTAATTAGTTGTATTGATAGGGACGTTAAGATGAGGCATGCATAAACCTCCTATTATTATACTTCTTAAATTTCGAGGGTTCAAAATTTTGTATATTTGCCCGACCTAAAAAAGGAAATGTTGTGGGTATTAAATTTTGCAATCGGTATGTTCTTGATGTGCATTTATGCTGTACGAGAAAGCTTCATCATGCTCATAGATAGTATTATTTAAAGATTATTATGTTTATAAGGACTCTTGAAATTCAAAAGAAAGAGAAACACTGGATTCCATCTCTTCATTTAAAATATTTTAGTGATGCCATTTTTAATTAAATAAACGTATGTAACTATGTATGATATTAAATTAACCATTGATAATTATAATAACTATTCATTTCCAGGTGTTTTTAATTTTGTTGATCCTTCTCTTCAGTAAAAAAATGAAATTCTACCATGCCACCTTGCGATTTACCAATCAGATTGCAGTATTGGAGGTCAATTATTTTTCATATTAACCTAGCTCGTAAAAATATAAACCTATCTCATTAAATAATTAATTGATTGGCAGTTTGGTACTCTACGCTTATGCTCTTATTAGTCCATTTATCAAGTTTGGTAGATTCTTTACTGGCCTAGCCTGTTAGATATGTTGTATGTATGTCAACTGTGGTCTTATTATCAGCAGCTGGTAGTTGTTTTTCAAGTGTCATGGTAGAAGTTGGTTGTACACCTCGGTATCGGTTTCTATGGCATTTATTAACCTCGCGACTGCCTCGCTCGGTTAATAAATACCATAGAAACCTCTACCTCGGTGTATAACCTATACATCTTCTTCAGTAGTCACTTCACATTCATAGGCGCTGGTACGGTCGGGTATGGACAGTCATGCCTGGCCAAAAATTTTGACCAGAAATAAAAATTTAATTAATAACATCAATTTTGTCATCAAGAATTACCATGACTAGCAAGAGACAGTCTTTTCTGCTTTCCTTCATCAACAAGCCTTCCAAGATGACCAGGTTGGATAGAGCTTTACAGATAAGGTACATGTAGGGTGCCTTTTAGGCGTATTTTTATGGTATAGTCATATGTATGCGTGCGTTGAGTACACGCCCAAAATACGTGTGGAAAAGTAGGTGTGGCTGAAATTGTAGCGTACTTTCGCCATTTTACTTGCCCGACCGCTCTTTCAATTCTACCACCACCTATGTTCACATTGCATGATCATATGTGCATTGTACACATTGTATATGGAAGTGTGACAATCAGGGTTTCCTATGCTGTTTTGTAAAAAGCAAGCCATGTATCAGAATAGTACTTGTGATTCAACGTGATATAATCAGTTCTAATTGAGTCTATTTTTACAAAAGGAGTGTAATTGAATGTGTAATTGTAATTGAGGTTTTGTATCCAACCCCAGTTCTTGTTTGTATAGCTTGATAATTATGGCTATAATAACAAAAGTACATGTAAGTGTGTCATATTGGATTAGCCTCCTTTGTTATCAATTACTTATTATCAGTGAGTTGTTTTGTCTTTATAGCTATACAGTGATTATTGTGGAAATCATACCAATTGATAAACTATGATTAACTATCCCCACACCAAAGATTACCAAGCTCTTAACAGCATCGCAGAGCTTAATTTATACATGTACATTTTTAATTTTAATGAACTTTATTGTTCATTTACTATTTTATATTTCTTATGTACATGTAGAAAGCTCATCATCTTCAGACATCATGCCAGATGTTGCTACAGGCCCTTGGTAGATGCAGTTACCATACACGAGGTATTCTATGTCCTTTTAATTTATCATAATAATTTTATTCTCTGAATGATAGCATTGTCAGACTATGAATTATCACTTGGGGAGTTTTTATTTGCTAATGGAGAGAATGATGTGACTCATGCTGGAAGTGTCATGAAGCAAGTTGGAAATGCTCATGATCAAAATGCAAAGATGAGGTTTGTACTGATAGTTTTATGAAGCTAGAGAGTTTTTCTTGCATGAAAATAATTTAGGTTCTCTAATTTTGGTATAGATTTCAAATTTTGTGGCTTATATGTTTAAAAATAATTATAAGTCTTATTTTTATGATTGACAATATTGTCTGAAGTTTGCTAATATGCTACTCCACCGATTGCATCAGGTTTATACTGGGTGGAATTTAAGGTGACAATATCTGTGTAACTTATAAAACCCATTCGTGGTTAAATACGGCCCTCAGTTCTTTAATATTAATCTTTACTGATAGCAAATTTGAATAATTGAGCAGTAATTATTTTTTATGTAGATTGAGAACAATGGAGCCAATTACTAGACTTCAGCAAGAGTTTTCAACATTCTCTAATACCGCTATTGGAGATCTTACTGAGTCTATTAAAAGATTTGAGAAAGCTCGGGTTGATTATCGAGCAGCATTGCTATGGATGAAAGATGTTTCAGAGAAACTGCATAACCCTGATGCCAGAGAACAATTAATAAAATTTCGTGAGGTATGTAAATCAATTATTGACTGAGTATAATATTTTATTAAATTTTAAGGTCCAAGCAACTGTTAAAGAAGCTAAAAAATATTTTGAGAAAATGAAGTTTAATTTGATTGAGAAAATAAATATGGTTGCAGCAAGTCGCTCTAACCTGCTGTCCCACACTCTTCCTCAGTATCAAAAGGAAATGTTAGCTTATCTGGACAATGCTGCAAATGAACTGCATAAAGTGCTAGTGACATTAAAGTGAGTCATTTTGCTGTTTTATTATTGTGAATTAATGATTTAATATTGTTTAGATCCCAAACACAGCATCAGTATAGGTTAAACTTCCTCTCTGATGAAGGTCTTGAGGGGGAAGTTCCACTGCCTCCGCCTGAAACAGAATCAAAGGAGGAGAGTCAATCAGAATCTGGGGAGCAGCACGATGGTAATACTAGCTTATTTGATATGCTACAGAGGGAGTCTCGATCCAGTAAAGCTCCAGCACCAGTTCCAACTCTTCCTCCACAAGATGATGCAATGTCTTCGATTGTTAGTGATCTCCTTGCACTGGATGACAATGATGATACTGGAAGGCCACTTCAAGTTACTTCACCTGTTACTGATCAACAGCGTGATCTATTAACTGATGAATGGGATGAGTACTCTGCTATTGATTCTAGTAAACCAACAGCTGAATCAGAAGAGCCGAAACAACCAGTTGTTAGTGATAACGATGATTGGACTGATGATCTTGTAGAAGCTGAACAACCTTGCACTCCTCGTGAGCTCAATGAAGAGATTAATGAATTAATGGCTAATGAGTCTAAGCTACCTACGAAACCTGAGCCTGAAGAGGTTGTTTTCGATCCTTTGTCTGCAGTGTCATCTGTTTCAAACGATTTAAAAGATATTAGTATTGACTCTAATTTACCAAAAGGTATTGGAAATGAGCCAGCGACGCAGTTGATTCCTGCTCGTCAACTACTACCTAGTATGGTCCCTCCTGTGTTTCCATCACCTGCTTCTCAATCAACAGCTCCTTATACATTCAATAGTAGCGGTAGATCTCCTGGTTATAAACCAATGGTAGGTGGTTCTAGTGCCACTAATGATAACCAGGCGCCAGGCCAAAAATGGGCAAACCTGTTTGCACATTTAGATCCTATTGCAAATGAAAAAGCATGATTATTTTGATTATTTTCTTCAGTCAGTTATTTTTTTGTCAAATATAACAGTAATAATTATTTTCAACACTTCAGCCGGTTTTTTTCAAAAATTAAAAATTCAATTATTCAAAATGTTTGAAATTCATAGTTGCGGGTGTGGCTATTTCGTCTCTATGGAAACAACTGATAATAATAAACATCTGTAATGTATATGCATTCCGTAGCAATGGCAAAGCCACTGACCAAGTCTCGAGACGGCAGTTGTCTTCTGTCTGAAGGAGTGGTAATAAAAGAAAGGTGGAAGGTTTTAGGTAAAATTGGAGGGGGAGGCTTTGGGGAAATATATAAAGTGAAAGATTTAAGCAATAATGAGGTATGATCTTTTACCAAACGAACTGTTCATTTTGATGTATGTATATTACATATTACAATAGGATTTTGCCTTGAAAGCTGAGTCTCTTTCTAGTAACAGACAAGTCCTACGAATGGAAGCGTTAGTCCTTAAACGATTACAAGGGATACCACAAGTTTGTGAGTTTATTGGATGTGGAAGGACAGAAAAGGCTAATTTCCTTGTTATGACATTACTTGGACCAAACCTCTCTGAGCTTCGAAAGAAACAAGCTGATCAAAAGTTTTCTATTTCAACTGTGCTAAGACTAGGTGTTCAAATAATAAAAGTAGTACAGTCAATGCACAACTGTGGATTCTTGCACAGAGATCTTAAGCCGTCAAACTTTGCAATGGGTGCAGGAGAAAATGCCAAAACTTGCTTTCTACTTGACTTTGGACTGTCTCGACAGTACATAATGCCTACTGGAGAATTAAAACCACCAAGAGGAACAACTGGGTTTCGTGGAACTATTCGTTATGCATCTCTAAATGCTCATAAGGGATGTGATCTTGGTAGACAAGACGATCTGTGGTCAGTATTCTATATGCTAGTGGAACTAGCCAATGGCAGCTTACCATGGAAGACATTACGTGAAAAGGAAGATGTTGGAAAAGCAAAGTTACATTACAATCACCATAAATTAATAACTACACTTCCACATGAATTTAATGCATACTTAGAGTATCTGCAACAGTTGACCTACTACGATAAACCAAACTATGCATATTTAATTGAGCTGTTTGAACAAGCTCAAAGGAATTTAAGAATCAGTGAGTGTCATCCGTTAGATTGGGAGCAACCAGCAGTACCAAACCTAAAGACAACAGAACCGGCTAAAGAAAATGATGAAGATAAAGATTTAATTACTGTTTCTGGTTATATACTAGCATTCAACATATCAAATTTGATCCCTAAAGTTGAGGACAATCATCAGGTAGCAAGTGATCAAGAAGATCGTCCACTTCTGTGTGATATGATGTCATCGTCAACTACTAATAGCAAGGAGAAGGACATGATAGAGCCACCAGTGGAGCACCATGTTCTAGATTTAAAGGAGACAATAATTGAAAGTGATGAAGGTGAAAAATTGCCATATACTATACCTTTACCATTGGAGCCAAAGCCCGATGGATACATTTTTACAAGAGCTCGAAAATATTATGTAAAGTGTAGCAAAGCACGTTGTACACTGAGTCATGACTATCAGTCCTAGCTAAAGTTTAAGAACAGTAACATTAAAATAATTTTTGTCATCATTATTAATTATTACTTTTTATAAAGAAGTTACAGATCTATACTTAGTTGTAAATCTATTGTTATGTACTCTTGATGATAATAATAATAATGACATCAGAGTGATGATGCATTTCTGACCCAGCCCTAATCCGTTCGGGGGAGAGCTAGAGCAGAGACAGCGATAGTAACAAATGGCATCTTGTGACGAATCAGAAAGGAGCGAAACCGTTGAAAAGGTTGACGGTGAGTTGAACAAGGAAGATACAATGAATGAGGAGCCTCAGCAGGACGGTGCGTCTAGCGGTAAGTGACTGTTGTGGTTATGTATTTAAGTGGTAAGGCGTTATCTGTTGACCAGGAAAAATAAACAGTGATGATAAAGTTTTAATTATTATGAATAAAAAAATTATTTGAAATGACGCCTTCATTTAGCATTATTCATGATTGAGTTATCGTTATATTTTAGGCATGAGAACTTCTAAGAACTCCCCTGTTCTAAAAAGGAAAATAGCATTCTTGTCAGGTAAGAATCCAGTATTGTCTCATGTAGCTTGTATGTCTTTCACATTAATAATAACGCCATGACGTTTGTGACAAATACCAAGTAAATAGATGACATAATATTCATGTACATGTACATAGCCTCCTTTCGTAAGTAAGTAGTAATAGTTAATGCGTATGACATGAGTCTTTTGTGGCCATTCATTAATTTGACAATGGAGAACAGGCTTTGCTCTCTGTTGAGTACAGTTGAGAAGCATAAGTTACGATTCATATAGTCACTATAATTAATGATTGTGATTAATTATTATTAATTCTACCTTATAGGTGCTAAACATGAAGGCCACCTTATTCTTTCAATTACTAGTAATGGAATGGCTGTATTAGAGGGAGATGGATCGCTTGACAGCCTTGATATTACTATGAAATATATCAGCTCATTGATGGAGTGAGCCAAGTAGATGTACATGTAGTATGACTAATTCTCTTACTTTCACAGCGGTAGCTCTGATACAGCACAAAAGGGTCTTAAATTTCTAATAGATTGCAGAAGAAACAGTCAGGCACATATTATAAAGACAGTCTTAGAAAAGATAGCTGTTAGTATAATTGCCTGTTTAATTCTACTATTCATTGTACTATACTTGATAGTCTGAGGATTGTCCCCTTCCTTGTACCTGCGTTATATTGTTCAAGTCGGTCTCACAGCTCAATCAGCTCACTTCTTTGTTCTCAAAGAATAAGGCAAAGCTTGTTACTTCAGAAATCAAAGAAAAACTTAATGTACATTGTTAACTCTTTTTAATTCTGTTGATTCATTTTTTATTGTAGATTATTACAGTTAAGGACAAAGAAGAATTGTTTCGTCTTGTTCCTCCTGAATTGTTAACTGAAGATTTTGGTGGTAGCTTTCATTATGATCATGAGCAGTGGATAAGAAACAATAAGGTACATGTGTGTACAATCAAATCATTTTAATACTTCATGTCATTTTAGTTGTATGAAAAAGTGAAAATTCTTCGTGGGAAAATTCTTGAAAAGATGCCTCACGTGAGAGATGGTTTAAATGATTTTGAGATTCCTCAAAGTGTGAAGGATGCCGAGAGATTAATGACAGAGCAGCTAAAGTTGAAGGAGTTCTTTGTCAATATGTTTGCTGAGATTGATGTGTGTATTGACCAGCTAACTACTTATCTGGTGGATCAGTCTCAAGACACTACTCTATCTGGTGCATCTGCTGTAGCTATGCTCTCATCAGAACATGTACTTGCCTATCTAAACAGGTATTGTATAATTAATAGTGGCAAGAGTAGAATAATATAATTGTAAACTAATTCCAGAACTAACGAAGAAGTTCACGAGGAACAAGCAGAGTTTGATAAATTCTGGGCATTGCATAAGGCACGCCTTGATCACATGATGCGTACTTGTCATTATAAAAGGACTGTGGAAAAGGTGGGGGTAGTAAATACAATTAGTAACAATTAGTAATATCTGTACATGTACATGTAAATAATAGGTCAAACATCTTGTACAAGGTCATATTGATGACTTAACAAGGGCTGATTTGGCCATTGGGGAAAACCTTGAGGTAGCACTAGAATTGGGAGAAAAGCACGAAGTATTTGTGTCTACTTGTAAAGAGGTAAGTACACATGTAGACATGTACACGGCTAGCTGTCCTACGTGCTAATATTCTCAGTTTTATTCAGCATTCCACAAATCATAACTGTTGCCTTCCCTAGTTAATCATGTAGATGTAGGCTATTTGTCAGTGGTACATTCATAATACCATATTAGGAAATTATAGTTGTGCAACAGTGCGAGGTGTTATTTTTGGCTCAATGTCTTGTTTAATAAAATGACCATTTTTGTGATGAGTTTTATAACACACATGTACTTAGAAAATTGATTCACATATGAAAGAAATTCAAGAAGAGCAGACACAAATATCAAAGCTACCAACTGGAAGTGAAATCAAGAATCAGCTGCTGCTAAAGGACATTAATGATGTTAAGCAATCAGTTCAATTGCTAACAGAGTCATATCAAGAGCTGATGAAGCTTTGCCAACAAAAACGTGACCTGTTCATTGTGGCAGTAAAATTTCACATGTCAGTGAGACAGGTATTGTTGTAACAAAATTGTGACACTACAATAACATAATGTATTTTATTAGTGTGAACAATGGTGCTCAACTGTTAAAGAATTTGTTGAAGTATCTCCACTTGATGATGTATCTCCAGATAAAGCTGGTGAATTGGTAGAACAGGCTGAGAGTATAATGCAGCAAATGACTCAGCGTCAATTGAATTCTATGAAAGAATTTGCTTCTTGCCTTCCAGAGAAACAAGTCAAAAAATTAACTAGTAAAACAGCCAACAAGTAAGCAGTTTAAAAAAATAAGTACTTTGAAATGTTTTGGCCTATCACAGATGTAACAGTAGTCGTGAAAAGTTAGAGAATTACAAAACTAAATTATTACAACTGTTAGCTCTTAGCTATGCACCACCAGCACCTCCTCCTCCTCCTATGGAGTTATTAGATGTGAGACAACAATCACTTATGATACATGTGCTTCAGTTATTTGTCCCTTTCATAGTCAACTGATGGAGGTGGTTCAGATTCTCTGAAATCAGATAAAGTGGATCCAGCAAGCAGTAACGTGAGGCTGAGCTTATACTGAGTATTGTGATATTATAATGCTTCATTCTGTAGCCTCCTTCTTGGACACAGGATTATCCTGATGATGAAAGTGATCCTGCCGTGTTAAGAAAAAGAGAGTTTGTGTATAAAGAGGTTATACAGACTGAGAAGGATTACATAAATGACCTCAAGATTATATTAGATGTAAAGTTTTAGTATTTGTAAGCTAAAATAAGATAGTTATTGTTTCTAGAGTTACTATAATGAAATGTTGCCTGAGGACAGAGTCCCATTGCGTCTGAGAGGAAAGCGAAGCGATATTTTTGGAAATCTTGAAGCAATCTTTTTGTTTCATAATGAGTAAGGGACACTTTATTAATATTATCAATTATTAAGATATGTTCATTTTTAGAGTTTTTTTGAAGCAGTTAGAGCTGTATGAAAATCACCCTGAGAGAGTAGGATCCTGTTTCATCAAACACGTAAATTTAAAAGAAAATTTAATGTTATCATAAAATATATATAATGTTGTCGTGTACCCCTTAGAGTTCAGATTTCCAGTTGTATTCTAGCTATTGTCAGAACCGTCCTAAATCTGAAGCATTGCTAACAGAAAGTCCAGAATGTCAATCTTTTTTTAAGGTTTGATAGTTAACGCTATTTGTTTGTTTAATAAAAATTACAAATAGGAAATTCAAATTCGCTTAGCTCATCAACTTCCTCTTAACTCATTTTTGATCAAGCCCATTCAAAGAATCACAAAGTACCAGCTTTTAATCAAGGTTAGTTTTATGGTCAGTAATTTGGTGCTCATAAAACTACGTGTACATGTATAGGATATGATTAAATATTCATCAAAGGCACCGCAAGCATTACGTGACCTGCAAACAGGTCTCAGTATTATGCTCCAAGTGTTAAAGAGTTTGAATGATTCTCTTCATGTTGTTGGACTCAAAGGATTTCCTGTAAGTATATAATTCATTTAAATACAACAGCAATTTATGTGATGACTTTTTTTAGGGAGCTTTGGTTGAACAAGGGAGATTATTGGTTCATGTTAGTACATGTTATAATTCTCTGTCAATTCATGTTTTTGATAGGATCCCTTTCAAGTTTGGGAAATGGGGCACTCTAGAAATATTCTCTCACGAAGTCATGAGCGCCATGTCTTTCTATTTGAGAAAGTGTTGATCTTCAGTAAGAAGAAGGAAGAACAGACTCAGCAAAAACACAAAGAGAATAAATCGAATTCATACTTTTACAAGAATCACTTACACGTAAGTTTTCTTTATTCCCATAGAACTGATTGTAATTGGTTGTTATGAGCAGTTGTCTGATGTTCGACTCAAGGAACAGCCTGATGAAAATCCTTTGTGTTTCACTTTATTAGTTCATGGACAAAACAGAATGTACAAACTACAGGTATTACATATTGTATGATATTAGTTTTAATGATAAAACAACTATAGGCGAATAGTAAGGACGTTTGCGTAATGTGGACTAAGGAGTTACATAGGATCCTGTGTGATCCATTCAGTTTATTGAAAGGTATACTTTATCTCTGTTGATTTTTATAAACTATCCTGCCTCAGACGTTGTACTGAAATCTGGCACTTTAGACAGAGCTACTGCTGCCAAGTTTACAAAAATGAGCAAAAGTGTACAAGGTTACTATTGGCTGTGAAAAGAGCTTTGTCAGCTAGTGCTTATTTAATCTTTTAGGAAAATCTCAGTTGTTTGATGGAGTAATGCCTTCAGAGAATAGCACAGCATATGGACCCAAAAAATCATTTAGGTGAGTACATGTATTGTGAGAATAGTCTGATAGTCTGGTGTATTATAGTGGGCGTTTCAAACTCAACATTCGTCCTGGGAAAAAGAAATCTGCACCAAATGCACAAGAAAGAGGTAGTGGTAGTCAAACACCAACACCAACAGGTTCAGATAAAGAAAAGCATCAGATGGGATACAGAGATGATCAAGCTCTCTTTTCAAGTGTTCCTACGAAATTATCAGCACGCACTTTCTCTCATGGTAATTGCTATTTGGGTTTACATTGATGGTTCAAGAAAATATTTTAATTGTCAAATAATTACTAGATGATTTACTGAGTGACAACAGCAAGGAAGCGGAGGAATGGTCAGACGGTGAGGATGAGAGTGGTAGTCCTGGAACAGCAGATCACTATGAAATACTCGTGAGTATTCTTATGTTAATTTTCATTGTTGCTTGTATTGTATGACTATTTCTCATGAGACATATTGTATACACTAAGTGTCGGCTATTAAAGCTCAAATCTTATATTTTATAAAGGCTCCCGGAACTGCTCACTTTTACACTGCAGTAGCCGACTATGCACCAAGTGGAGATGACCAAGGGATTCCTCTCAAGATTGATCAAGAAGTTGAAGTTATTGGCATCAATGACAGTGGTTGGTGGTGGGTTCGTGCTACCAACTATGTCAGTGGTGAAACATTGGAGGGCTGGGTACCTGCCAGTCATTTGAGGGTTTCGAAAATATAATAATACGAATTTAAGTGTCATGATCAATTATTTTTAAATTCATTAATTGGGATTATTCTTTAGGCCTTCATTGGTCAATCATTGTGTCATAAGTAAAAAATAATATTCTTTATCAGTGATTGTGAACAAATTTCCGTGAGGTGTGGTTTTGTGCAGAGCACAGTCTTTTGGAGAGATCATAGGAAATCAGTCCCTAGGTAAAATGTCTTTCTACTACATTAAGCAAAAGGGCCAGGATACTAGAATACCTTTGTGGTGAGTGATTACGAGTTATGCTCAACCTACACTTGCTTGTATCACTTTTAGGAGCTTCAATGTAGTCAGCGAGTTCAGTAGTACAGAGAATAGCTATCGATTGTTGGAGCCATCTCAACTAGTAGCATCTCAAGGGCAACTGTTCATTACTAACGAGCGAGACAACAAGCTGGTCGTTGTAGACGAGGACACTTTGGAAGTCAAAGATGTAGAGTGCATAGGTGGGGAAAAGAAAATGATCACCGGCCCTCACTGGATGGCAGTGAAATCATCAATAAGTGCGAATGAGTCAACGTGTACTGTATGCGTGTTGCCTAAAAGAGGGTTTCAAGATAATTGCAAGCTCTATAGTCTGAAATATGAAAGGAAAGGTTACCTGAAAATATCGGTTTCTGACCTTGGCTATTGGAGTGCGTGCTCAGTTTGTTTGGGACCAAATGGAAATTTGTTAATTGGCAACAGCAGATATAGCTGTGTATACACATACAGCAATGACTCAGGTTTCACACAACAGATAGACGTCAACTGCCTGCCAACATGCTTGGCATATGATAACGAGCGAGCTCAGTTACACGTCTGCAACTCTGCCTCAAATGTTATCAAAGTGTTCAGTGAAGATGGCTCATTATTGCGTGAATATGGCCAGAATGTTTTGATACTGCCCCAGCAAATTGCAATTGATGGTAGTGGCTGCTCATATATCATATGCTGCTTCAATTTGCGTTGTTTCCTGTCAGTCTTTGATTCGAATGGAGACCATGTTTATAACGTTTACGGTTTTGAAGGTCCTATGGGTGTTGCCGTGTCATCTAAAGATGACTCAGTATGGATATCTGACACAAAGAAAAACTGCCTCGTGAAACTTGAGGGACTATGCAAGCTGAGGCCTCCTTTCTCATTGTCCCTAATTTGTCAACGTACCATATTGCTTCACATGAACGAGCTATCAAAATTGAGTTTATTCAAGTAAGACAATTCAGTTTTATTATGAAACAACTTATTACGTTTTTCCTAAATCTAGAAATACAGGACAAGAGTTTAGTTCTTGGAACCAACCAGTAAATGTTATAATCAAAGGTTTATCAAATCCCTTTTCTTTACCTCTACTACTAAAACATGGGATCAAAACTGATACCATTAAGTGGATCTTGTGCCAAAGGCTAAATCTCTCTGAGAAAATTAAAATGTCTTTCAAAAGTACAAATGGTCGTCACGTAACACAGCTAGCACATTATATGAATGCTCTTATTGTTGAACTGCCAAAAACTTTGTCACTTGGACAATAAAGAGTAACAGAATACTTTTATATGTGTGTTAGTGTGTATGTGTGTTGTGAAACATGTTACTTTTAAAATAATAATATTATGTGTTGCTATAAGAGTATGTGAGGTATCTAGACAAAAGTTATTCTAGTGCGACTGTGATTGACCTGCCACACATTGAGACGCTCATACTCTTGAAGACATTCCTCAAACTGATCCGGAGTATAACCACGTGCTAATATGTGCTGCCTTGCTTCATCAAACCTGAGGTGTAATTAAATAAACATTATTGCTTTTTGATTAAAGAATCGTAGTACCTGACAGTATCAGGATCAGCCATTTCTCTCACAATAGAATATATAGCATCGATCGGTCGACTGCTCCTACATGTACATGTACATGTACATTAAATAATTTGGCAATCAAAAAAGCAATTCACTGACTTGCCAGAAAACTCTTCCTCACTAAATAGAGACTGCTTGGACATTTCCATCAACCTCATAGCTTCATTCACATCATCTTTCTCAACAACTTCAGCAAGACGCAAACGAGCCTTCATAAAAGAATGTTAAATGTATGCGTGATGTGTTGACAAGCTTACCAAGGCTGTGGATAATCGCAACAAAGCTAGCAATGTCCTCGCTGAAGTGAAAGTCGTTTGATTGCCTTTATTATTCTTTGCTTCTCTTCTCATATCAACATAGCATCCAACAATATACTCAGTAAGACCTTCAGGAATAACTGGCTGTTTCATTTTGCATGCAGCAATGTATCGGCTATAAAGAATTGCTCAAAATTCTAAATTTGTTGTGTTTGTGTGACTCACGTCATTTTCTTAGTACTAAGAGGAATAAATTGTGAAGGAGGTTGTGTTGAATGTTGATGAACATAAGTTACATGTTGGGCAAGCCTGTGAGTCAAATTACAACATAACATAATGATAAGTATCTATTGGTTGTTGTTATTACGACCTATAGTATTGAAACTGATCATTCAAATGCTAGTACCCAGAGTTTCAATTTCTAAAGGTCAATATCAATCGGTTTCTAATACCCAGTAAGAGTACAAAAATATAGCTACAATACTGGATTGCTATATAATAATAATAACAATTAAGACATATCTAACATCAGCAGGTAAAATATAACACATATATACATGTACATGTATAGTACAGCCCATGTACCTTAGGTCATTCTCAGAGTCACATTTATCTCTGATTAACCACAATAAGTCAAAACGAGATAGAAGGGCAGCTGGCAGTTGAATATTAGCTTCAGCAGATTTCTTAATGTTGTAGCGTCCATATGCAGGATTGGCAGCAGCAAGGATTGACACTCTAGCATTAAGAGTTGTCATGATTCCGGCCTACAAATAAATAAATTAATGATAAGAACAACTGATGACACAGAAGTGCTGTTGATAAGTACACAGTATTCAGTATTGTATGCTGGTACATGTACTGAAATAAAATCAGGGTTTCCCAGAGGAATTTGGCATACAGTGTATGTACAAGTGTAGCTTCTTGTCAGTGAATTGTCAAGTTGCTCAAAAATTGAGCCAAAATAATATACTACAGGGTACAGGGTACTTTGAGAAAAATTACAAGAAGAGAATCCTCCATTTTTCTGATACATGTACATGTTCTATGTTGTGTAGAAAATTAGAGTTGATTCTGACCAAGTTGAGATTTGTTTTAAAGTTGCTGAAAAATTGGGCCAACGATCAAAGGCTATAATAGCCTTTGGTCAATTTCGTTACAATGGCTAGCAGATAATTATCTAATTTGATAATTTTTTCTAATACACATGTTCTTATATTGTGTAGAAAATTAAGCTGATTTTGATCAAAGCTGATTTTTAAGAATTTTAAAAGTTGCTTTAAATGCCATATGTACTGTATCATAGTGCTTGTCAGCTCATGAAGAATGCTGTTTAGCTTACTTACATGTAGCATGTGTGGGAAACCCTGCATGAGACTGAACTTACTTTAGCAATAGAAATAGTCTGTTGCTCCATCACTTCATGAATTGCTGTCCTATCTATGTCCAACATTTTATCAAACTCATCTATACAGCAAACTCCTTCATCAGCCAATACAAGAGCACCACCCTCTAAAATAGATATTTTAAAAGTAATTAAGATATTGAACACAATGGGTCTGTACTGTAGTCTGTCATGATTACTAAAGGAGCACCAACCTAATGTCATTTCTCCTGTTATGGGGTCTTTCATAACTGCAGCTGTCAAACCAACCCCAGAGCTTCCACGTCCAGTAGTATATTGACCTAAGAATGAACAGTGTGAAACATTTAGTGAGACTACATGCCTATACGTACTTCTAGGAGCAATACGATCAATATATCCAAGTAACTGACTCTTTGCCACTCCAGGGTCACCCATCAAACAAATGTGTATATTACCTACAATTAGATAATACAAGATAATGGACCATTCCTTAAAGTCTATGTACCTCTTATTTTCATTCCATGAGGAGTGCAGTCCACTCCACCCACAAGAAGAAGTAAAAGTGCTTTTTTAATATCTTCATGTCCATATATCTCAGGAGCCAGTGATGAAGAGAGTTTTTCATAAAAGTCATCCTCTATTAATATATTAACTAAGTTGACAATAAATTATAATAACAGGATTACCTTGTGCTAGTTGAGATATTTCGTCATCAGACAACTCTTCTTCTTCCTCCTCATCAATCTTCTTTACTTTAGAAATACGCTACAAAAAAATAAAGTAACAAAATTATTATTAATTAAACAAGACTACATTACATGAGCTTCCAGGAAGGTCTCGGACAAAAGTCCTGAGGTAAGCTGCTTAAAGCCAGACTTCATCATTGGTAGATAAACCTGTTATAAGCAGCACCGCATTACAATACAACTAACAGATAATGTACTCACTCCTGTAATCATAACATGGTCACCGGGTGATGCAAGACGAGTTACTTCTCCTCTGGCAATAACAGTCATCGAGCGAGGAATGTTACCAACAGGTACTTGATCATTCTAATTAAATTAATTCCTTGTACTACAGTAGTTGACACAAAAACAGTTAACATACACATTCTTGTATTTTAATCTCCTGATACTTCATGAACCTAGACCCACGTGTCTGCAAGTACAACCTACCTCCAGACCTTATAGATAAATAAAAAATAAGTGAATATACATACACACGTAGTATGAGAATATAATTACCTGTTTCTCACACATTCATCACTAGGACACATTACTAGTGGGAGAAAGTTTGGAGATGAAATCTACAAATTCCAATAACAATAAATAATATACTATGATTGACAATACATGATTACCGGTTGATAACTCTCAGCTCCACATTGGTCACAGGTATAAGTGGCTACTACCATTACTGGTTTCACTTCAGTGGTCCTGGTTACAATGCCCCTCACATTGACTAGTTTGCCAATGAGTTCAGCTTTAACTTCACGAACAGAAAGATGTCTCTCACGAGATTTGTTTTTGAATACCACCTCACTACAATTATTCATCAAAAAGAACCTCATGTAGCAAATTAACAACAATAAACATGCCACATATTTCAACAATATAAGATCAATCAAAGCTCACTCTATTTACATCTAGTTTACACAATAAATTTACACTTTAATTATGAAGTATACAATTTTAGATTTACATGTACGTACAGGTTGACTTACAATCTACGAATTAAATCAGGAGGATAAATATTTCGTGGGTCTCGTGTTTGCTGGTCTCCGTGATGCTGCTGGCGTAGTATCAGTCGATGTTCAATGTAGACATCCAGTGAGTCTTTAGCAGTAACCTACACGAAATTAAATACAGTATGAAGCATTAAGCACCACAATTAAAACTTACTGTGTACATCTACTTTAGTAGCTATAATAATTAATACAAGCACATATACATCATCATTGTATTTTCTTTTGTTAATTTTATCTCTACTATTAGTGTTTCCTTTTTAAACTAAAATCACATACATGTACTTAACTTATAATTAGTTATAGTCCCTAATCTTAGCAATAAAGTCATCAACAAAATAGTAAAGTTAGTTTTTGGTAAAAGGGACTATAGGATCCAGTTTATACATAGAAATACATTAATTAGTAGAAATACATTGACTAAAACCATAAACATGTAATACCTCTCTTTGCTTGTATTGTGGAAGAAGGTCTGCAATGCACTCAGAAAATATCTGAGTATAACGTCTTGTATTGCCTATTATATTGGCAGTTAGTTCTGCATCAAACTATACATGAGATTAATAAAGTATTATCAATGTGAAGCCAAACCTCTTCCACATCATCTAAATCAATGACAATTTCAACTTGTTCCCTATGGGCTAGGTTAGTCTAAAAAGATAACAAGATTGATCAGTAGTATTAATATAGACCGCCCGCGTGTTAGGTAACACTTCTTTGAAGTCAGCAAAACATTGTGGGGTACACGTGGCCAGGTATACCCACTGGTTGGCAGAAGCAAAATGAGTGCATGAGGAGCCTGCATTTTATGTCTTTGTTTGAGGATGCCAGAAGGCAGCTACGTTGCAAAGCTGGAATCTGTTGGTTAGATGATCAATGATGACCCATATTTGCCTGAAAAAACAACTACATCAGAGATGAGAAACTGGCCAAATCTCGAGTTTGGCCATACTGAATAGTTTTTACCTACTTTCAGTGTTAGCAGGCCAGGGCTATTCACACAAGAGCAGCTCATGTCCTGGAAACAATTAGAGGCCTACAACTACTACAAAATTCGACATATTAGGACAATTTTTAGTCTATTTTGGAAGAGGAGGAAGAAAGTTTGGTGTAAGCTTCTTCATGCAGCTAAGGCCCAGGGCTTAGCTGAAGAAGCTTACACCAAACTTTCTTTTAGGCAGCTTGTTTCTTTGCCTGACACTGCTCGTATCTTATCTTTATAGTAGGCAAAGACAGTAGGGACTGTCTATAGACCCATTGCACATTACATCACACAATAATTTTAATATTCTGTCGCCCATCTTGGAAGACAGCTGGAGGCTGAGTGTAATATAGCTCAATCAATGGAGGCCTTGATTTTTTGGAGACTGAAAAGACTGCAGCAAGCAATTTACAAGGGAAATCACCTGTAATGGTTGTTACTTGTCCCTCCAAAGCAAGAAGTGAGCATAGGAAGACTAATTATAGCAGCAAATAGTTATCAAAAAATGTGAAGTGAAAATAGAACTAGAGAGTTAAGAGAGGCAATTTTACTCAAATTAAAGTCTAATCATTATTTGTGCTACTGTCTTGAAGTAACAGCTCACTGATCAAAATAATGGGACCTCAATACGGCCTGAGTTTAAGTAGCTAGTCTATCATGCCAGGGGTGTATCTGAGGGGGGGGGCCTACAGGGGCCTGGGCCCCCCCATCAATTTTTGTTGATAATGATATTTATTTTTTGTTTTATTACCTATCACCTAGTAATAAGAATTAACCACCTTGTAATCGTTTACAATACATTGCACAGCAGCAAATGCACAAGAAATGAGTAGTAGGCAAAACAAACTACTCATTTTATATTAATCGTTGTTAAAAATGTAAAAATTTGATGCTTTAAAATGCGCAAAAATGCTATTTTAGTGCACTATACGAGTGCCAAGAAGGGGTGTGTCCAAATTTTCGGCGCGCTTGGGTGTGTCCAAATTTTCGGTGCACTTCGCCCACCACTTGTCTCTGCGCCCCCTCATCATTTCCTTCCCAGCTACGCCCCTGTATCATACAGCCAAAAGTAGTCAGCCTGTTCCAAAAGTAGATTAGTCCCTAAAAGAGGTAAGTATGCTGTTTAGCAGTATGAGACTCAAATTAAGACTCACCATAACTCTACTCATCAGAATTTTTACTACTGAGCCATCTGTCTCTAAGCCCTTCAATTTTGTCTGACCGGCAGTCTCAGCCTGCTAATGTGAGCTTTAAATTGACCCAGTAGGCAAACTTTAAGTTCTAAACCATCAGTGGATTGAAGGAGTAGGTAAGAAGATTTGCAAGCAAAAAGCACTTGTTTTAGTAGTGATCAGTATGGCGACTCATGCCACATGTCCTCCAAGATGGCAGAGAGCAACGGTTGCTATGTTTATTTATACAAAATGGATGTGTCTGCAATGGGCCTATATCAGCAGAGTTATCAACCAGCCTTCCTAGCTACATTAGGACAAAATGATTTCCACATAGTCGTGTAGAATCTATGCTTGATTGGTTTCCAGTTTTTTGCCTTTATAGTGTTTATCCACAACTTTTTCCTTCTTTTTGGAAGAACTGGGATTCTATAAAAGCCAAGTTCCTTTTTTTTAAAATGTCTGTTTGCTTTTTGCCAAACAGTGGGTGTGCCTGGACGTGTACCCTAATGTTTTGCCGACTTCAAAAAAGTGTTACCTAACGTGCGTGTGGTCTATACATGAACAATAAAACACTAATGTGTATATTACATATACATGGGCCATGTATATACATGTAGATGTGATACAACTCTTGAATGGGTGGGGAGTTTCAAATACAAATTTTCTCATGACATAAATAACCAGGCATTAAATAGATACAAATCACACGATAAATACAAACATACCAGTTGTTCAGCATAAACATAAATCTTTCCTTCGTCACCATCATTATCAGAGTAATACTCGGTTAAAAATTTGAGAATTTTTTCTAAGAAAAAAAAATTAAAAAGCCAACATTTCTTATACCTTTCTCTTGTGTATAATCTGTCAGAGGCATGGCATTAGCTCAGGAGAAATAGACGAGACTACAGAGATTGTGTGGAGTTGAAGGCGAGGTCTCGAGGCCAATTTAATGAATTAAGACTTTAGTGGATTTAGTTACTCTTTTTGGCGGGCCGCTGGCAAAGGGGTTAATTATATTACTTGGGCCTAGGCCCCGCCTTGTAACCACCACGTGCCTGCACGTGGACGTACTTCATACGTTAGAGCTGTAAAAGTGAAGTCCAATCTGCTCTGTGTGTTTTGCTCTTATCATTATAGACCCACCTAAGAAAACTAGAATGCCAAAAGTGGCCAAAGTCAAGAACAAGATGCCAGCGGATTTAAACATTACAGCAGAACAACTACTGCAAGAAGCTAATGTAGAAAGAGTAGCTCGACGTCCGAGACAGGAAGTGGCCGCTGACCCCGAAGAATTGTAGTCTCGCGTAGCCAGCCCCTCCCTCAACGGGAGGGTCTGGTCGAATGAGTGTAGATCGTTCGTTCTACTTCACCCCAAAACAGGGTGAACCGGATGTGGTTGTAGTAGGCGTTACCTTAATCCTCGTGGTACATCAGATGCTCTTACTCGAGCTAAAAACTCTGGCACTAACGCAGAGAAAAGAAGCAGAAGAGAAGCTGTTTAGCCATCCAGACAAAAATTGTAGCCTGCTCTCTCCAACAGCCTTGCCAACAACAGATAGAAGATATTTAACCACGTGTTGCATAAAGTATGCGGTGGTGAACAAACATAATACGGACTTATTTAATTAATCACGGAGAACGAATGATGTACACTCATTCGACCAGACCCTCCCGTTGAGGGAGGGGCTGGCTACGCGAGACTAGAAGAATTGCAACAATTACAGTTAACCAGAAGGAAAATGTTTGAAGAAAATATTAGGAAAAACCGTAGTATTGTGTCCAACTGGATGAAATATGCTCAATGAGAGCAAAAGCAGAAGGAATATGATAGGGCACGCTCTATTTATGAGCATGCTTTTGCCGTTGATCATCACTGTATCACCT